GGTACCACAGCTCACTAAATTCAATTCAGATTCCCATAATTACCCTTTTGTGCTGTCTGTCCTCTGTACACATCCCTTGCCCTTATGGTTAGCTCAGAATAATAATGTTAACGAACACAGCACAGATGATCCAGATTCAGATGGACACCGATTTGGCAGCCACCCTAAGAATCGTGCCAGCAAGTGATAATACCCAATAATGAGGGTAATTGGGTAATGATCCATAAATGCCATCAGAGGCGGAGAGATACAAGACAACAGCTTCAAACAGGAAGGGACAACAGGAAGAGAGCCCACATCTACTTGGCGGACAAAATCAAGCATGGATTACAACAAAATCCTACTGAGGGGCCAGCTGTCAAACATATACAGTGAGATACAAGAAACAGAGACAGAGATAGGGAGGCAAAAATAAGGAAGAGTCACAGCAGCAGGGCGTTGCTCTCATGACATTACCTGTCAAAAGCCTCAAGTCAAAGCCGTGGGCTGACAATCAAGACTGTAGGTTGTCACATGGATTTATAGCCATGCCAATACTCAGCAGAAATACAGTTCCTTGTCAGGGGACGATCTGTACTTTTTATGCAGTAAGAACTGCAGTTTTAATAAATGATAAGGATTCAAGAATATATTTAATTGGGAAAAAAAAAATGTAAAAATCTTCAAGCCAGACTAACAGTAAGACTTCCATGTCCTGATGGATTTTTATTAAACCTTAATATTCAGTTAATGTTAATTATAATATTCAATTAACAATACATCTTCAATATTCTAAATGAAAGCCATGAGATAAAGATCATGTTTATACAAAAGTTCAACGCCACAAATGTGTAAACAGACACGAAACAACAATGGAGTGTCTTTAAAAACCCTAAACTACCAGAAAAACTGCTTCCTTCTGCCATGGATTAAAATCTCAAATTGAATTTAACAGTTGAGCCCAAGCCTCTGTTATTAATTCTAAAACGTCATTTTAGAACAAGCAAAGAAAGGAACGCTGAGTTGCTTCATTAAAGCTTATGGTATTTTATACTACAGCGCCGGGTTTCCCGATAACGATGTATCTTAGCTCTTAAGAGCGCTCTCTGCGTGCAAGGTTACGAACGCTCGCAGCAATTCCACGTGCGTTTCCCAAAAATGCACTTAACATGAACGCGCGAGAACGCGTTCTACATGCTACTTAAGCGTCGCTATCCATTCGCGAAGTGCTGAAATATAACCTTATATGGAGTCGTATTCTGGACGTTTAACCTAATAATCGTCATTTGTTGTGGACAAGTCTATATGGGTATAAAACACCTATACAGGCTGACAAAATGGCTGAACAAAAAAAAAAAAACAATAAAGATATACCTTTCAAAAAGATAAAGTTAATGTCCTTCCAGAGGAGATAGTGGGAAACAAAGATTTTATGACACCATACAAATAAGGAAAAACAAAACATCTGGAAGGACATGTCACATTCTAAACTAACTGCAACCGTGTTCAAAGATCAGGGAAGGAGGTCCGCAAAAAATGCCCAATACATGGCTGGTTTTCGTGCACGTCAGCAAGTCATTGACAGATTTTTTTTTAATTCATCCCTATTTTGCCGGTCTTTAAAGCATATTTCCCAGATTACTTATTTTATGATTTTTTTTGTTCATTCGTTTAATTTAGATGTGTATTTCTATTTCTATTTTAATTATTTAATTTATTCATTTAAACAAAACACGAGTACAACAAAGTGTACAATCAAAACCTATATATTATAGGCTACTTACGTTGCAGTGTAATCTATTGAATTTAGATAAAATTGTAATCTGTCGGTTGTCCTGCAGATGACCTCATAACTCGGTCTTTTTACGATGCACTTGGGGATGTACGATTACTCCAGAGCACTCATAGTTCTACTAAGATTTTCAAGTGTACTTAAGTTACAATGCTTTTGGTAAACAGAACATAATATTAAGATCATTCTTAATATTATTAAGAATGTTAAGATCGTTTTTATGATCAAGTTAGGCTTTTGGGAAACTTGAATGTTGAATGGGCAGTTGAATGTTTGGTTATAGAGTAACTAAACCCTAAACCAGCTTTTTTTTAGTTAAAGCTAGGGTATACGATTTCAAAGATTGTTTATTATTAATATCCTCGTTTAGATGCTGGTTATGGTTATATAGTACAATCCTAACAATATGAATAGAAAAAAGAACAAAAAAAATCCATTCACTCTATTGGCTGTACAGCCGCAGAAAAGTTGACCAATGTAAGCTGTGCGGCCGCTCATCCAATCACCAGCTCCACTTGAAACTCCGCCTGGCGCTCGCGTCTCCAACCCAACCGCACCCGCCCCCGCACCCCTCCGTGCGCGAGCAAACAGCTGACATAGACAGCTAAGGTAGCTAGCTAGTAGTGTTAGATCAGCAATGGATAAAGCAATGGATAAAAATATAAACGACAACAGCAAGCGGCCCCTGCTTGCCTCTACTGTAAAGTTTGGACGAAAGAGAAAGTATGTGGAGGAAAGATCAGAGATTAAAAAGAAATGTGAAGAACGCCGGACTCTAAGTAGGATAAATATAGCGTCCTTCATTGCCCGTTGGAGAAAGCTTCAGGGAGATCTGGGACTGAAAACGACGCTGACACGGATGACTTTTTGTTGAGCAGGTAAACATTTATTTATTCTTTTATGGTGTGTTACAAGGCTTTTTATCAGTTTGACGACTTGCTCATGCTGCCGGTCGGCATTGGAATGTTAGCCGTTTAGCATCGCCTATCACGGGTCAAAGTAATTATATTTCTTGTTCGAGGTTTCTGTTCGAGCCGATCGGAATTTGAACAAGATGCGCTGCGTGCTGCAATAAACAATTACTGAAAACCTTAGCAATACTAGTAGTATTATAATGGTGGTGGGGAGTTTAGATCATTTCATGTGTTGCTAATCTTGCGTTGACGTGAACTCAAACGTGACATACGTCAGGGATCAGGTAGCACAGAGGGGAGGGGGGTGTGTGTGGAGGGGCGGGAAGAGTTTTTTAAAACTTCCCTACCGTCTCGACCGATTTTTAACATCGTATACCATAGCTTTAATGATCTGTAAGAATGGATCTTTATTAATACCAGTAATTGATTCGAGTAACTTTTTTGACATTTGTGTATAAAGTGTTTTATTTCTACAATATATGGTGTAAAAACGTCTTAGTGCTGCCCTCTTCAGGTTGAACAGTGGCTACTGCAGTTGAATTTTCCTATTGGATGTTCCGCACTTCGTGACGTACGCAGGTTTCAGCTCACTACGCTCTTTGTATGAGCTACGCCCTTGGCAGTATAAACCAGCTCGTTTTCGTCTAAACCACTGTAGGGAGTCAGGAGTTGGAATTGCGAGTATTGAAAACGATCAGGATAGTGTTTTAGCATCTATTTCGTCCCCTCTATCTCCACTGGGGTCTGCCCACTTTTTCAGCATTTTTCAAATATTTTCAAATATCAAATCTTGAAACGTATTTTTGAATCGTGAATCATTGATTTCGGTTCAATAATTGATTTACAATGCTAAGAATCAAATGATTTGTGATTCGATAGCGATTCAGTACATTAATATATAAACATTAAATGACAACATGCAGGAATTAAAGGATTAGTTCACTTTTGAAAAAACTTTTGCTGATAATTTACTATTTTACCATGTCATCCAAGATGTCCATGTCTTCCTTTCCTCAGTCGAAAAGAAATTAAGGTTTTTGATGAAAACATTCCAGCATTTTTCTCCTTATAATGGATTTCCATGGGAACCAGGTCCAACCGAGGTCCAAACGACAGTTATAACAGTTACAGATGCAGCTTCAAATGTCTTTAAACGACACCAGACGATGAATAAGGGTCTTATCATGCGAAACGATCGGTTATTTCAAAGCTTATTCCAAAAATGTAACTTTTATAAGGACAAATGCTAGCCTTTCTCCATTCTGTGAGGCGCGTTTGCAACGTCACGTAAAACGTAATTACGCTCAAAAGGTCACGGACGATGTAGCCAGAAGTACAGAGTCAGAGTGTTTACAAGTTGAACGCATAGGTTGAACGTGAAAACTAACTCAAACGCCGTTTACAAAAAAGGAATTAAAAGGTAAAACAACGATGTCGGACGATTTTGATTCTGTACTTCCGGCTACGTCGCCCGTGACCTTTTGAACGTAATTACGTATTACGTGACGTTGCAAACGCGCCTCACAATATATTACAAGGCTAGCATTTGTCCTTAGAAAAGTTACATTTTTGGAATAAGCTTTGAAATAACCGATCGTTTCGCATGATAAGACCCTTATTCGTCGTTTAGAGTCGTTTAAAGACATTTGAAGCTGCATCTGAAACTGTTATTAACTGTCGTTTGGACCTCGGTTGGACCTGGTTCCCATGGAAGTCCATTATAAGGAGAAAAATGCTGTAATGTTTTCATCAAAAACCTTAATTTCTTTTCGACTGAGGAAAGAAAGACATGGACATCTTAGATGACATGGGGGTGAGTAATTTATCAGCAAAAGTTTTTTCAAAAGTGAACTAATCCTTTAATGGAGACGTTGTGCACCATCTTTCACGTCCACAGCTCTTATTCTACATAATATATTAGTAAATAGTAATTTGTGCAATACGTGGGAAACCACACGTGGTGGGTTCAAGGGCATTGTGGGACTCTGGATTGTTGGAATATTCTCATTCACCATCATGGGGCCAGCCCCACTTTCCTCTCCTAATGAGTTTTATGTCCTTGTGTGTGAGTAACATCCCTTCTCCTCTTTCACAGCAGCCCACCATATGGCTTGTGCATACCTGGCACCAGGAGCTCACCTGAGCTGTGCTGGTTTCGATCTGTCAGTACCCACATTTAGCGCAGGGTTATTAGCCTTAAAACCCACAGTTCATGGGAAAATTATTTAAATAAAATGTAAGTGCAGACCTACCATTAAATTACACAGCAAAAAATATAATATGACTGCCAGAGATTAAATAGAAAAATCATTTACCTCTTGGTTAAGGTAGCGAAGCTGTCCTCTGGTGTCCTCCGATTTAGCTTCTAAATCTACACAGACAAAAAACAATTATGTCCAACTGCCTCACAATGACAGAAAAACCAGTGAAAACTCATGACAAAGACTTCAAGGAAGAGTTCACCAAAATTCTGTCACCATTTTCTCACTCGCACATCTTTCAAAACAGTTATGATTTTCCTATGGAAGCTTGTTTCCGCCACTGAATAAAAAAATAAAATAAATAATTGCGACTTTTTATCTCACAATTCTGACTTTTTTTCTCACAATTGCGAGATAAAAAGTCCGAATTGCGTGATATAAAGTCAGAATTGCGAGATATAAAGTCAGAATTGCGAGATATAAAGTCAGAATTGCGTGATATAAAGTCAGAATTGCGAGATATAAAGTCAGAATTGCGAGATATAAAGTCAGAATTGCGTGATATAAAGTCAGAATTGCGAGATAAAAAGTCAGAATTGCGAGATATAAAGTCGCAATTGCGAGTTATAAAGTCAGAATTGCGTGATATAAAGTCAGAATTGCGAGATATAAAGTCAGAATTGTGTGATATAAAGTCAGAATTGCGAGATATAAAGTCGCAATTGCGAGATAAAAAGTCCGAATTGCGAGATATAAAGTCGCAATTGCGAGTTATAAAGTCAGAATTGCGAGATATAAAGTCAGAATTGCGTGATATAAAGTCGCAATTGCGAGATTTAAACTCACAATTCTGACTTTTTTTTGGCGCAATTGATATAAACTTTGACCTTTCTCGTAATTGGGATGGAAGTATGCCACGAGTTGAGACCAGAGTCTTCCGTTTCATCGTCAAAGACAGAGCTTGGATGGACATTTTCCGATGACAAGGTACGATCATACTCTTTGACATGATAGTCATTTAAGATGTTTATCATGTGTTAATAAAATACGTTGGGCAAGTATAAAATGTGACTTTTCGTAACGTGCACGTGCTAAGGTTGTCTATTACGTTTAGCCTTCTTTTGCATTTTAGTGTTGGTTTTATGTTTACAAATAGTTATTTAATATCCTGTATTTGTCATTGTACCAAAACTGTTTTGCATCAGGACAGGAGCTTTTTGCTTTGTCATGCACAGCACATTTTGACCATAGAGATCGGCTACAGATTGGTTTTATGGCTTACATACATGGTTTAGGCTAATGTTGGCCTAACTTGCCAGCCTCAGTTTGCTCTCATTATTCATTTCTGTTAAACTATCATAACAGGATGGACGATTTTATCATTTTTCTGAGGGAGAGGAACATTCCAGAAACCACCATACAAAGGCTGGAGGAGGACAAGGTAATATTTAACCAAGAAATGAATAAATGAAAGGAATAGTTTACCCCAAAATGAAAATTCTCAGTATTTAGAGGAAGTGACCATTTTAAGCCCATTTAGGCCTACTTACAGGATTATTTCTTTCTTAGATTATTTAATGTTTATTTTATTTTAAAAAAAAATGTGTATTTTTTTTACATTTAAATGTGTATACCATATATTTTTTCGGGTGTTCAGATTAACAAAAGTGATTCTAGATGTGTGAATTAATCACCATTAATCTAATCGTTCAATATACAATTATACCTTGTAGGAAATAAAATGTTAAAATATCTGTCATTCGTTTACGATGTGGCAGCTCTTTACTACTTTATTAGCCTTTGACCTGACCCATTTAATGACCCCTTTAATACCTAATTCAGTAAATGGTAAAACTACTTGTACTAGAAATCTGTTTGTTTATGATAATTAGTTAAAATAAAATGGTAACACTTTTACAATAAGGTTCATTAGTTAACATTAGTAAATGCATTAGCTAACATGAACTAACGATGAGCAATGCATTAGTTACAGTGTTTATAAATCTTTGTTAATGTTAGTTAATACAAATACAGCTGTTCATTGTGTGTTCATGTTAGTTCACAGTCCATTAACTAATGTTAACTAATACAACCTTTGATTTTAATAACGTATTAGTAAATGTTGGAATTAATATTAACTAAGATTAATAAATGCTGAAGAAGTATTGTTCACATATTGAACATGTTAACTAATGTAGTTAACTAATGTTAACTAATGAACCTTTTTGTAAAGTGTTACCAATAAAATGATTGTAAATACCAGTTTGCTATGTCAAGCTTCATGACATACTGTTTTTGTACAGCTAAAATAACTGGAAATGGAAGACTCAACACATCAAATTTACTAAAGGCAGAGCCGTTCTTGCATTTAAAATAATGTGGATACTACTGTGGGGAAGTTAATCTATTGTAAAAGCACTGAAAAGCACCTAAAAACATGCTAGAACAAACCTATGATGATTTTTTTTTTCTACTGATACTAACAAGCCTATAGCATTTTCTGCTCAGAAAGGCTTAAATGCTCAATTGTGTGTGAGATGACATAATGACAAAATGGCAAATGCAAAAATGGCTCCGACTGTTTTTTTGTTTTGTTTTTTTTTAGTAAAATGTTCCGTTTGTACAAACAATTTCTTGAATGCAGGGATAATACAAGTATGATTAACCCAGACCTAAGCTGCTTACTTGCCATTAACATGCGGTCTCCGTGATCTGATCAGGCAGATCGGATCATTAGCCAGTCAGGACATGCCACGTTTTTTCACATAAGTAACCTCTGTATCTGGATATCTGATCGGATTTCTGTTTCCAGCATAATATCTAAATTAGGTCTGTGGCATGACACCAGGTTAAGAGTAAAGATGATACAAATGTACCAATTGCTTTCACTCACTCACTTTACTTTCCTGCGCAATCTCCAGTCTTAGATCAAATTAAGTTTTTTAATGAAGGAATAGAGTTTAACTTGATCATACAAAAATAACTGATCATGTTAATCATCATCTGGGTTTAAGGTTATAGCCTGCAATGACTATATTGACAGAAATGGGAGATTGATAAACATGCTGAAACAATACAAACATTCAACATTTAAAACATAAAAAAATTCAGATTTCGATTATTCATCTGGCATGCAGCTCTTCATTAAGATCTCATGACTGACTGATTCTGCAGGCGATCACCTCGTTCAGATAATGTTGCACAATTAAATTGAAAAATGACACCCATAGTATCATGTAAGTCCAATAAACTGAGATCCGATCACAATGCGTCCTCGACTACTTCCGAACCTGGACACGCTGATAACACTTGTCTTTTCAATGTAAACGCAGCCCTAGATGCTTGTATGAATTGTATGAATATAAGCAACATTTTGTTTTGTTTATTGTACTGAATACTGAAAAATGTGTTTATTTGCAGATTGATGTCAGTGTCCTACTGCTAATGACTGATGACCAGATGAGAAGCTATTTTCCTTCATATGGAGACAGACTGGCAGTTTTGGGATTTTGTAGGAGGAAAGAAACTGAGCCAACTTGCAGGAAGTCAAAGCTGTTTGAGCGCCTCAAATCAAAACTTAGCAAAAGACAAAAAATTGACAATTCACAAACTGAAAACCATGCAACTAGAACAAACATCTCTCAGCGTACTGAAAGAAAAGTTGAGATTGGGTGGATGCACTATGATGGACAGGGCTTTGTTCAAATGAGAGCAAAAAAGGAGGGGGAACAAGGAAGTTGAGTGTGCCAAAAGACTGGAAAAGGAAAGAACTGATTGAGGAGGCAATTCGTTTGTTTTTCCCGGATGAAAAAAATTCTCATGGAAGTGTTTCTGAGTTTGAATTGGATCTAACAAATTATCAGGAAGTGTCACTAGATCATGAAACTACAGTGGGGGAAATGTATAATGCATCCAAACTCACAATGATGAGGTTCTACCTCACAACAAGAAAGGTCGCGAGGGAAGTGGAAGCAGAAAGTGGAGTGGAAATATCAGATTCAGACACAATAGAGGACTTGCACAGAAATAATCAGGATCAAAATCTTCCCACTTCTTCCAGAAGAATGAATGACCTCTTTCAAGCTTCAGACACAGATTTAATTTTTGTGGAAAGTACAGACAACAACGACACATCTCCCTTACATTCCGCAGAGGATGTAAATTTGACAGATGATCTGAATGTCGCTTTTCAAAGTTCATCAATGACCTCACTGGATTATTTTGATTCAAGCGATGTAGTGACAGTTTTCACTGGAGAAGTCACTGAAATAAATGAACAATCCTTAGATGACACTTTGCCTCTGAGCCCGGAACCCATAGTTCCTGACAAAAAAATTCTTGTTGTTCATCGTGGACAGATATTTTCAGAACTTATTGCACATTTCTGTGATGAAACCCTTGCACACACACAGAGTGCTGTAGAAGTGAAGTTGCTCCTCCCAAATGGACAGTTTGAGATGGGCCATGACTTCGGTGGAGTGTTCAGAGATTGCCTATCAGAATTTTGGCAGGAATTTTATGATCAATGCACACTGGGAAACAATTTTAAAGTTCCCTTTCTTCGGCATGATTTTGGGAAAGAAAAGTGGGAAAGTGTTGCCCGAATAATTCTGTTTGGCTGGAAGAAAGAGAAGTATCTTCCAATAAAACTGGCACCTGTCATCTTGGAGCAAGCAATACAAGGATCTGTCAAAAGTGATCTGATTGACAACTTTTTAAAGTATGTCTCAGAAAATGAGTGTGCTGTCTTAGAAAGTTGCAGAACAGACTTCTGTAGTGCAGACCAGGAGGAATTGATCGAGATCTTGGACAACTACAGTTGTCGTAGAATTCCAACAGAAGAAAACTTTGTGCAAGTTTTGCAAGAACTGGCTCACAAGACTCTCATTCAAGAGCCTGCTTATGTTCTTGAACAGTGGATGAGCATACTTGGACCTCTGAGGAAGGACCTTCAGGAAATTGAAAATGTGTATTGTGCACTACAACCAACAGTGAGGAAAATTGTGCGATCTCTCAAATTCCCTGAAGCAATGAATGCACACCAAAAGGACATTTCAAAGCATTTGACAGCTTACTTGCGGGAGTGTGATGCCAAACGACTGTCTCTGTTTCTGAGATTTTGTACAGGATCAGATTTGTTTATAGATAAAACTATAACAGTTGATTTCACAGACCTTAAAGGGTTTGAGAGAAGACCAGTGTCACACACCTGTGGCTGTTTCCTGAGGCTGTCAGTACACTATGACAACTATCCAGATTTCCGATCTGAAATGAACAAAATTCTTGAAAGCAATGTCTGGGTAATGGACATAATTTAGCTGCACTGGCACATACATTGGAAAATGTCAGAAACTGTTTATGGCCAGCTCATATCCTATTTTGCATGGGTCAGTCTTCATACACTTAAAATTTATTATACACGTGTATGCATGGAGTAAAACATTCACTTTAATTTGAATGGTTATTCACTTTAAATTACAGGTTACACTTAGTTGTTGGATGTCGAACAAACTTTTTTTCTGAAGATTTATTTTGATTATGACTTTCAATAGTGAAAACGTAATTATTTAGTTGCAACCTACTGTTTGCGTTAAATTTCACGGGTTGTTCATGTCAACTCGTCAGTCAGATGGCTTTGAACTGTTAATTAGTTAATGGTTCATTCTTCATACATTTACTCGAAAAATTAGAATATCAAAAGTTCATTTATTTCAGTAATTCAACTTAAAGGGTTAGTTCACCCAAAAATGAAAATTAAGTCATTAATTACTCACCCCCATGCTGTACCAACCCCGTAAGACCTTCGTTCGTCTTCGGAACACAAATGAAGATATTTTTGATTAAATTTGAGAGCTGTATAACTACCACATTGGCTCCTAAAGGACTGCCTCTTTACGGCCCAGAAAGTCAATGAAGAAAATGTTTAAATATCCCAAGTGACTACCGTGGCTCAACTATATGTTTATCAAGCGACGCGAATACTTTTTGTGCGAAAAAACAAACAAAAATAACGAGTTTATTCGACTATTTCTTTTCTTCCTTGTAGGCCAGAACGAGACTTCCTTAGATTTCCACGACGCATGCGCGAGAATTGCGATCTGAAGTAGTGAAGCTGGTGTAAGCAGATCGCAAATCTCGCGCATGCGTCGTGGAAATCTAAGGAAGTCTCGTTCTGGCCTACAAGGAAGAAAAGAAATAGTCGAATAAACTCGTTATTTTTGTTTGTTTTTTCGCACAAAAAGTATTCGCGTCGCTTGATAAACTTATAGTTGAGCCACTGTAGTCACTTGGGATATTTAAACATTTTCTTCATTGACTATCTGGGCCGTCAAGAGCCAGTCCCTTAGGAGCCAATGTGGTAGTTATACAGCTCTCAAATTTAATCAAAAATATCTTCATTTGTGTTCCGAAGACGAACGAAGGTCTTACGGGGTTGGTACAGCATGGGGGTGAGTAATTAATGACTTAATTTTCATTTTTGGGTGAACTAACCCTTTAAAAGGTGAAACTATAGACTCATTACCTGCAAAGTGTGATATTTCAAGCCTTTATTTGTTATAATTGTGATGATTATGGATTACAGCTTATGAAAACCCCAAATTCAAAATTAGAATATTGTGAAAAGGTTTTCATAAGCTGTAAGCCATAATCATCACAATTATAACAAATAAAGGCTTGAAATATCACACTTTGCATGTAATGAGTCAAGTTGAATTACTGAAATAAATTAACTTTTGATATTCTATTTTTTCAAGTTTCACCTGTACTCTACATTTATTTATACATAAAGTAAAACATTCTCTTTGTTTACTTCCTTAGTTGTTGCTGGTTATGTTTAAATTCAAACAACCTTTTTTTATTATGTTTTTGATCATTTATTTTATATTTTGTTAATGAATTTCAATAGTGAAAGATATCACATAGGTGCAACCTACTGTTCATGTTACCTTTTCAGTCAGATACTGTAGATGGCTTTGAACACTTATACAGTGTTCATAATTTAACTTTGTGCTTGTATACAAAAGGGTGTCACATTATTGTGAACCTTTAGTACATGCTATAGGTTAAACTGTTTTGTGAAATTGTTTTATAGAAATTGTTTTACTGTGGTTTGTATTATTCTTACTTGTACCACATGTTGTCATGTTTGGTTAACCACTATGCATAAAATACCAACACAATCTGCATACATGGTGCCAATGTTTTTTGTGCATTAAAGATGGAGTGACTTCCACAAACCAATAAATAATGCACAATAAAGTTTGCAATTGTGACTGTCTTTTTTAAAGAATATTCCAAATTCTGAACTTTTAAAATCTATTTCAGTTGTAGCTCTCTATAGAGGCACACAAAACAGAAAAGCCGATGTACCATGTAAAATTAGTACAACCATTTAGGTTCATCGTGAGTGTTAAATGATTTAGAGAACATACAGCACTGCCATTCTGAGAAGAAAGTTTAAGGTTTTGTTTTGAGCAATGTACCACAACAAGGTTACAGTTAATAATCTAAATACCATAAGAAATTCAGTTCTTAATAATTTATTTCAGGGATAATACAAATAACATCAATTTACCTATAAACCCATTTTTGTTCATATTTTCAGTCCCCTGCCCCTTTAAAGTCTTGAAAGTCAATGTTAAACAGAAGAGAAATCCATCAAATTTGAACAGTTTCAAGCCATAAATACATTAGTTTTTAGGTTCAAAACATTGTCTTGACTTGTCCATCTAAAAAGGCTTGCTGCACTTCATTTGTATTCAAGTTTGAAGTATTGACAGTATAATGCAATGCAATAAATCATGCATGTAAATTACTGTGGCTGGAAAAATAAAATAAAAAATAAGGCAAACTTTTTACAATTGTTTGAAAAAAATTCTAAGTGTTATAATTACATCTATGCCTCTTATTCTGATGGTTGTGCTTTTGCCATGTTATAACTCTGAAAATAAACAGATAACAAGATATCAATTTCACAGCATGCTAGAAGCTCCAGTGAAGCCGTTGATACTCTGTTGCCTCATGAATGGCTGTGACCTAATAAAAAAATTAAACAAAAAAACAAAAAAAAACATTAAATATTTAAGGGACAACTTTAAATATCCTGAGTGTCAGTGTAACAAAGTAATTTAAGTAAAATGCCAAAGGAATAAGAGAAATATTATTTTTATTTAGAAATATAATAATTATTATTATTATTATTATTAATGATTAAGACTTGCTTTTAATTAATTAGTACACCCAGCCTAGCCAATTTGAGGCAAATCCTGTTCCTTGCAGAACTCTGCAAATGTTCTTCTTACCTCAGAGTGAACTTCAAGGAGATGGGCGTGTGCCACTCCAGTGTTCTCTCTAGTGGTCCAAGGGGGGTAGGAAGAGTAATGTGGTGCTAAGGCTGCAATTCAACACTTACAGACACAGGTGTAAATTTCAAATTTCAAGTTCAAGTTTCAAGTTTTATTCCAATTTAAATATTTTGGTCATCTGAAATACTAAAACAATTGAAACAATACCTTCACAGCTTATAGTGATGTTTATTAATTTAGAATGGTGAATCTAGTCCTCAGCGTCCAGTCCTTGAAGGATCAATTCGCGAAGCTGGAGGTAAAGGTCTGTAATTTCATAAACATCATCTGACATGACAAGGTTATGCTCAGTCATGAGTTCTACACACAGTTGAAAGACATCCTCGTCACAAGGATAGTCTTTAAATAAACACTCCTCTTGGCAAATATTCAGTTTTGTTTGTTCAATTGGATGCAAGAAATTCTGCACTCCATATAAGCTGGGAACAGCAAACATTATTGAAGGTCGACCACTGGGAGCACGTGGGTTGTGAGTTGGCCGTATCCTGTGGGAATTCCAGGCACTGACAATTTCATCAAGCTCTTCCTTCATAAAACAAAAAGGAAATATAAAAGGATATATATTATATATATAATATTGTCTTGTCAAATTAATTAACAAAATTATGTCATTATACGTCAAAAGTTATAATCCAAATTCAATAGGCCATACTCTCTATAACTGATAGTGAACAAAATTGAATAAAATAGGCCTACCTGAATAAAATGTTGGAAGCAAAACTGGATGAGAGATTTATCAATGAAAGTGTCAACAAAATGTCCGTCTTCTTTTAATTGTTCAAAAAGATCCATCCAAAACTGTATGCACTGGCTTCTCAAAGTGGACCACCATCGTTCAATTCTCTGGTTCCCAGTGCTTGGACCAAGAGTGACACATTCTGCACTTGCAGTGTTTCTGAAAAATGTTTGCATCTCTGCTATATGAGTATTTTCAGTTCCGTGGTCAATGCGAATTCTTTGTGGAAATCCGTTATTCTCAGCAACAGCATGTACAAAATAACCTGCAATTACTCGTGGGTCATTGTTCGTTTTGTATGCTTCAAGCCAGATCATTTTTCTGGAAAATCCATCAATGCATCCGTTTATACATATTCCGTAAGGTTTTAATTTGTCGTACCCGTCAATATGCCAAACATAATTTGGCCCGCGACTGTTATATACGCGTCTGCGTAGACGACCATGAGCACGTAGATCAACTCCTTGTCCATCTAACAGTCTCATCAACTGACGGACAGTTTCTCTGTCAGTAATAATTCCGGACAACCAACATTTCTGGTGCATCCATCGATAACCATGTTGCCGTCCCGATGTCTGAAGCTGCTGGTGTATAAAATGTGCCACTTCAGCCTCGTCCGTTTTGTTGCGTCTCCGCCACAACTGATTCCTGCATAATGTTCTCTCAAGAGTCCGGAGACTAAGCTTAATGTTGTGTGATTCCTCCAATAAAATCAAGATTTCTCTATTTGTGAAACCGAGGCGAAAATAATCCTCTATAATCTTTTCCATTCTAAATGCTATAAAATGATATGTTCAGCGTCCCGTGTTTGACTTGAGTGGTGAATGAAATGCGAGCAAAGTCAAAATTACGAGTTTATACCTCACAATTTTGACTTTTTATCTCACAAACCTGACTTTATAACTCGCAATTGCGACTTTATATCACGCAATTCTGACTTTTTATCTCGCAATTCTGACTTTATAACTCGCAATTGCGACTTTATATCTCGCAATTCTGACTTTTTATCTCGCAATTGCGACTTTATATCACGCAATTCTGACTTTATAACTCGCAATTGCGACTTTATATCTCGCAATTCTGACTTTTTATCTCGCAATTGCGACTTTATATCACGCAATTCTGACTTTATATCTCGCAATTCTGACTTTATATCACGCAATTCTGACTTTATATCTCGCAATTCTGACTTTATATCTCGCAATTCTGACTTTATAACTCGCAATTGCGACTTTATATCACGCAATTCGGACTTTTTATCTCGCAATTGTGAGAAAAAAAGTCAGAATTGTGAGATAAAAAGTCGCAATTATTTATTTTATTTTTTTATTCAGTGGCGGAAACAAGCTTCCATATTTTCTTTCTCGCATGAAACAAAAAAGAAGGTATTTTGCAGAATGTATAAGCTGCTTTTTATATGAAAATAGACAGTGAATCAACTGAACAAAGTCTTCTTCTGAAGCTACTGTACATTACAGCTTTGTGCATTGAAAAAATAAATAAATAAGTCTTCAATTTTACAGGATCAAATATGAATATCTTTGAGCGTGAATACAATTTAACAAGGAAAGATCAGCTTGGATATCCCTGTCAGATCTGGAACAACATGAGTTTTGGGTGACATATTTTATTTAAAGTGATAAACAAAAGATTATCATTAGAAAATACTGCAAATTGTGTTATCCTTCATTGTGGTTCAAGACTGCAATATTGGCATAAAGACTAAAGACACCGCAACAACATCAACCAGCACACACACACATATCTCACTCACACACCTGCTGTGGTGGCAGTGGTATTAGTTGCACCACTGATGGTGTGCTGATGACCAGAGGAAAATATAAACGTGTGGGAACTTTCTGTACCATCAGTGTCCTCTGTGCCGTCCACAACCCTGAACACAGACAAACAGAAATCCACTTGACTGTTTTCACAAGGTCCTTCAGGTACCAGCGAGCAAATGTCTATTAAAATGCAGTATCTTTTAAATACATGCATTTGTAGATGTGTACACACCTTGGACTGAGATTTGCAAGGTCAGGCTTTGTAACAGTAGTATGCTGAAACTGGAGCTTTTTGCTGCTTTGGTGATCATTTTTCTCCAAGTACGTTTTCTGCTTGGTTCCACCACTGAGATAATGTATCTGATCATCTTCATCATCATCATCTCCCTCATCTTGATGCTCAGCTATTGATGGATAGCACTGGATCACGTCTCCATTTCCCCTCCCCTCCATCTGTGATTGGACAGAAGAGATTGCACTGAGGTCATGTGAGGCCAGATGAAAGTTGGATGACTAACCCTGGATGACTCAACGAGAAAAAGAATTAGTTTCCATTATTAACAATGAAACGAGTAGATGTAAGGACATCTAGTTAATGTGACAGAACTTGCTTAATAATTTCTTCTTAAGCAGTCATCTGTGGCATTTCAATTAGTTTTATGTAGGTCCCACATTTTCCTTGCCATCACCAGTAAATAATTATCTAAATGATCACTTTCAAAAGGCAAAGCACGTTTATTTAGAAAGAACACATTTAAAAGGGGACCTATTATGCCCTTTTACAGAGACTTGATTTGTTTTTGGGGTCAAATACAATAGGCAATCATTCTTGTTTTGTATTTTTTTTTTAAAAAATGACCGTTGTTGCAGCACCTCTCTTCCCATTCAATAAGTAATGCTGCCCCTTTTTCTGAAAACCGCAACCTCAAGTTTCAACACACAAACTAAACTCAACTAGGCCTCGCCCCTTTTTTGCATATGCCTTGGTTAATATTATACTAAAAATAATAATAATATTTTTTGACAAATCTAAAGGCCCTTTCAAACCAAAGGGTCACAGCTCATGCAAACCATGTCAGTGTCAGAAAAAAATGGGAAAACAAATAACTTTCATTACATCTTGAAATACATACATGCTGGGGGGTCAGCCAGAATATTTAACTTACATGTGAAAATGTTATCCCCCTCTCAGAGCTGTGTGGAGCACTTTTATGATGGATAGATGCACTTTCATGGACAAAAGCAGCCATTCACTGCAATTATAAAGCTTGGAAGAGCCAGGACATTTTTTAACATACAGCAATTCTTATTGTATTCGTCTGAAAGAAATATGTCATTTACACCTAGGATGACCTAACGGTGGGTAAATCATAGGCTAATTTTCATTTTTGGGTGGACTATACCTTTATTATTTGTGAAAAACATGATATATTTTTTCAAGATGACCTAATGAATAAGTTGAATAATAATACGAAAACACAGCACTTATTCGAAATATTAAAATATTCATTTTTGTAACATTATCAATGTCTTTACTGTTACCTTTACTTTTCCCAAATTTTTAATATAGTTTTGTATATAATATTGTATTTGTAATTTGTACTGTATATAGTGTATCAGTTTCTACAAAAAACTTTTTTCATCATTGATAATAATATGAAATGTTTCTTGAGCATCAAATCAGCATATTCCAATGATTTATATGAATATAAATATTGTAAATTATTATTAATATTTTTAATTGGAATCATTATAAACATAATGTAGTATCAATATAACCATTAAATATATCTTAAATTGATTATTGGCTACAGCTGATTCACAAAAAAGGTCAGGATTTACCATCATATTTTATGATCAAATGAATATAAATCAGCAAGATTATTAAATGATGAATAAAAAAATATTAAGAAAATAAAAGCGTAAAAAATTAAGCTCAAAACAAATAAAAAAGAACATTGTATAAAACCAATGAAAAAAGAACATTGTATAGTGACCAATGCACTAAAAATCAGTAAGCTTAAGTGCAGTGCACTGCTTAGTCAGAGAATGTACAAGTAAATAGATGAGTTTTTCAATATGGACTTCAATGTGGGTGCTATTGGGACACACACAGACACACATACACACGCGCACACACGCGCAAACACACACACACTACAAACTTTCCCTCAAGGACCAATTAGACAAAAGCTATGAAAAAGCAGAAACACATCAAAGTGAATGTCCTTAGGTAAATCTCATGTAATGGTAGTGGTCTTATAACTTGAACTTTGACCTTGCTTGGTAGTAATAAACGGGGAAGACTTGACCTTAACGCGTTTAGAACAGCTGGCCTTTGATAATATAATGATCTTGGAGTGATTATGTCACAGAACGAACCCTAAAGGCTCGATTGAATCTGCACAATAATAGTCACTGTAATGGGTTTTGCTGTGCTTTACACTTCACGGTTCTTACACGCATTGCCAATTACACAGTGAAACTGCAACAACGTCGGCTGGAAATAACAATCTCCATTTATAGAACACTTTAAATGTCAGTCCACTGAAAGGTGTCGGAAAAGTCAAGAGGTAAAACACAGCAAAGGGAAGGAATAAACGTGAGGGGTATTCCCCCTAGTTCGCTTTTAATCTTGCGCCTCCCTCTCTTGTTCTATATATATCTGATTAATTACACTTTTCGTATAATAATTTGGTCATTTTCCCTGTTGAATAATTGAGGCTCCCTCACACTGTAATTGAAAGAGCGGCAGTTTCCTAAAGCAGTCAGTCATCCGGCACTTCAATAAATTCCCCTCCCCCCTCCTTTTACCCCTCCCTTGCCCCTAAACGCGCTGTTCCCCTTCCTCTAGCACCGCTCCCTCCCTGATTACTGCTTCAGGCATGGAAGGACAGGGAATGGGGAAGATGATCATCACCATCATCATCAATTTTTCGTTCTCTCTCCCTGCTGTTTCAGAGCTGTAGTGTTTTTAGCTTCCCTCATTAGGCAAATGAGGCGGGAGGTAGATCATTGTTAGGGAAATGAGCCCCAAGCTATTATAGTCAACACAGCACTGTTAGTGGATAAGTGTGGAATGATTGACAGATTGACACCTGTGTGTCCATGGACTTACTGGACATTCTGGATGTGACCTGAAAAATGACACATATGTCAACAGCATACACTACCATTCAAAAGTTTGTAGTCACAAGATTTTTTCTTAAGAAATGTGATGCGATCTGGGAAAACCCGTCGGATGTCACGCTGGTACGTTTTCAGTAAAGTCTAAATATAGATTGAATGTCAGTTTTTTGTCAAAATTAGTTTTTTATTAAATTATTATTCTATAACATCTTGTTTATCATCTCTGAAAATAACTTGGGAAAATTCAGAAATGCAGAAAAATAGTGATTTATAACATAGACATAATGACCAGATGAAAAGACTGCGTTTTCTTTAACAACACGCACGCAGGCGGAGTGGAGGGGGGAACAACAGAACAACAGAGTTTGAAGCCGCTCGTTTAAAAGACCTTGCTCGCCTCTCAATCGTCCAATTTCAAAACGGTTTTCACAGGATGAATTTTGAGTGAATGATACCTAATCTATGATGATTACTAAAATATGTGATATGAAAAAAGGCAATAAAAAAGGGAGCGCCAGTCGCCCCGCTAGCAGGACGTGACAGTTTCTGTTTCTGAAAATCACAGTGATCAGCCGACTTCAGATAACCATAACTTTTGTTACAGACAAATGATAAAATAAATAAAAACAGATTTGGAATATGGTATCAAAACCTGTAATATGTCAAATTTCACCATGTGGTGGGTTTTCCCAGATCGCATCACAAATTAATATTGTATTCAGCAAGAATACATTAAATTGATCCAAAGTGACAAAAAATACATTTATAATGTTACAAAATATTTCTATTTTAAGTAAAAGCTGTTCTTTTGAGCTTTCTATTCATCCAAGAATCCTGAAAAAAATATCATGTTTCCCACTAAATAATAAGAAGCACAATTGTTTTTAACATTGATAATAATAAGAAATATTTCTTGAGCAGCAGCTTTGCCATTACAGGAATTAACAATTAAAAGGGATAAATATTTCACAATATTACCGTTTTTACTGTAATTTTGTATGCCATTTCTTTAACTTACCCAATTAAAATCTTGAACTCACCCCAAACTTTTGCACAGTAGTGTACATTCACATACACACATAAGCAAGCAATCAATCAGTCTGTTTGTCTGTATATGAATTTTGGGTCCATAAAAAAAAAAAAAACTGAATCAGGTCAGGCTTTAAAGGATTTTTTTTTTTTTTATTTATTTTATTTTTTTTAATGAGCGATCATTTCGCTTGATAAGACCCATATTCATCATCTGAAATCGTTTAAAGCCCTTTGAACAGTTTGGACCTTGAACCGTTTGGTTCCCAATGAAGTCCATTATATGGAGAAAAATCCGGGAATGTTTTCATCAAAAACCTTAATTTCTTTTCGACTGAAGAAAGAAAGACATGGACATCTTGAATGACATGGGGGTGAGTAAATTATCAGCAAAAGTTTTTTTAAAAGTGAACTACTCCTTTAATACAGATGACAACGATGTCTACAAAGATGTCTACTGTTTTTGGTAACCGGGGTGGGTTCAAATAAGTTTGACTTCTATCCACTCTGTTTCGAGCAATAGATTTAGGTTTTGTTAAAGTCGATGTAAATATTATGAATTTAAAGGCTTGTACAGATTAACCAAAATGCTGCGTATTGCCTTGTCATGTGTAACTACATATTGCTCGAAATAAACAAACAAATAAATAAATAAATACATAAATAAATAATAAATGAATAAATAAATAAAAGATTAATTAAAAAAAATTTTTAGTATAAAAACACAGTGGTCTTACGTGGCTCTCTTGTCCCTCTCTCAGGTTATAGGTGAGGTCGTGCGTGATGTCCTGCACAAAACGGTGGGAGTATTCAGGATACAGGTCAAGCACCTCATACAGACCCCTTAGATTGATGCACTGCAGGTCACAGTATGTCAGCGCCTTCACGTCAGCGTTCGTCTTTATGACGCGGTCATCAACTGACATGTTGGCACCAATCAAGTCACCTTTACCTGGACGTGTCACATGAGGAAGATACAAAACACGTGAATATTTTGTCAGATATCATTAATGAATCACAGGAGTGTTCAATCAGTGTGTCAATTTGTAGGCTGAAGTGGCAAGCTAATCCAGCATGAGTTCTATGAGGAATGTATTTAATAGAACAAAAACATAAAATTGTTTTCAAGTAATGTTAACCAGAGACTGGATTTTACACATAAATCGAAAACCACAGTTCTTAAAACCCATTAGAAACTCCTAAGGGAAATCATGGCTCTAAAATGATAATTTGAGCACTTTAGCAATGTGGGACTACAGACAGCTCTATTAGAAGCAAAGAAACATACTAAAGCACAAATGAATGTAAACACACACAAAAAAACAGAACCTTCTTGAGAACTCAATGTCAGAGAGACCTTCCTTTGTCAGCAGGGTGGAGAGAGAGTGTGAGGTAAAGATGAGAAAGATAGTGTGTGTTCTTTTCCTGTCAAGGTGATGTTAACACAAACACAAACATGCACACACATGCATAAACACACACACACACACACACACAGGCAGGACCTAACAGGATGATGAGGATTTTATTTTTTCACACATTAGCTCCACTGTCCTATGAGCCTGCTGAGTGTGTGAAGCCTCACAGAGAGAGAGAGAGACCAATCACAGAGAGCAGTTTTTGTGTAGGAACACATGACATGGGCCCTAAAGTCCTCACGTATACCCCTTTTCCACCAAAAAAGAACTGGTTCGGAACTGGTGCTGGTTCAAAGTTGGTTCGGAGTTGGTTCAATTTGCGAACCCGTTCGGAACCTATTTGTTTTTCCACTGACTAGAGCGCCCAGGGAACGACGTCGTTACGTCACATGTGTACGTCGCCATACGTCTTAGCTAGAAGCGCTTGCAAGTACAACATTACTTTGGGATTTTCTCTAACTCGTGTACCATGAAGGCTTTAAAAACAATTGAAATATGCAAGTCTTTTAATCTTTTCGTTTGATATGTAATCTATTCTGATTAGTTATGTACCCCTGTCTTTTGTCTATTTTTCTTTCCATTATTTGTTCTATATTGTGACTGCTTTCTTCTTTGCTTATAATGTTTTCAATAAATAAAAAAAAAAAATAGAAACGCTAGCGCCAACTTCAAGCATAACAATTACAAAGGCGGACTCCATCGTGTTTCTGCAAATGTTTCTCTTGGCTTTGCGATCCTTTATTATGGTCAGAAAAAATGTTTAGAACACATCTAAACCCGCCCCAGCCCCCGACGTAAGCGTGACGTGGTAAAAGAACGGTTCTAGTCCAGCAAAGACTTGGTGCCGCTTTGGAACCAGTTTTCCCGGCCGAGAACCGGTTCTTTGGCTCTCGAAACACAAAGAACTGGTTCGCGCGCAGACACCGGCTCTGAACCGGCTCTCAAAATGCTTTGGTGGAAAAGGGGCTTTAATGAGAGGCAGTAATTTTTCCCTTCATGCTAAAACTACACTGAACATTTTGAGCTTTACTGTGTTATTGTGTGTTATTGGTGGGTTTGTGTAAACTGACCGAGGATGGCTAACACCATGCTGTCCTTTAGCACCTCCATGGAGCCAGAACAGACAAAGAAAAGAGCCTGTAGAGCATCTCCCTGCCGAAGAAGGTACTCGCCCGGTGCGCAAAACGTTGTCTTAATGTGCAAGGAGAGAGAGCGGAGACACCCACGACTCAGAGAGGAGAAGACGGAAAGCTCTAGGATCTCTTTGTTCAGATGCATTGCGATGTCCGAGCGCAACTCATCTGGAAAGTCTCTCAAGAGCTGGGGAGTGTATTGGAAGAAGAGAAAAAAAAGAAAAAAGAACAAGCAAAAAAGAATAAAAAAAGAGAAAAAGAAAAGGAAAAAAAGGAAAGGAAAATAAAAAGAATGGTATGGTTAACAGTTACTCGCATTTTAAGGAAATTTTAAGGAGAACAAGTGTTTGATACACAGCCGATTTTGCAGGTTTTGTAGAAGTCTGTAATTTTTATTATGGGTACTATAAAACTGTGAGTGACAGAATTTAAAACAAAAATCCAGAAAATCACATTGTATGATTTTTAGGAATTAATTTTGCATTTTATTGCATTACATAAGTATTTGATCACCTACCAACCAGTAAGAATTCCGGCTCTCACAGACCTGTCAGTTTCTCTTTAAGGCCCTGTTTACTAGTGCTGTAGCGGCGCGACGTCAAAATTGCGTCGACGTCATATTTTTGCGTCGACGCTTCTTTATTTAATTATTTTTTGCATGTTCCCGGCGGTACAGCTTGCCACACACACGTGGGAGACCGAAACATTTCAGAATAGAGGACGAAGACAACTTGAAGTGAATGTGCTATCCATTAAATTAATCACACACAGTAAACAAACCCTTAAGAAAAAAAAATGCAATTTAAATGCGCAAACTGGGTGCCGATGTGGTGAGACGTACAAGCTCAGGCAGATTCGACTTGAAGTTGTTTCCGGCCGGGCGCGCTGTTACAAAAAAAGGCGTACACACACAGCCAGCCACAGTCTTCCTGGTCTTGCGCACCCAACACATCATTTTTGCCGTGCGCACATTCGCGCTCGTGCGGACGTGTCGAGTATAAACAAGGCTTTACTCCGTGTCAGCACGCGCTCTGATCAGTAGGTGCACAAACCTCTCCCGATTCATCTCCAGTAGTAGCAGACTCCGATCGCACCACTAACTCCGCCTCAGTTTCCCTCCTCAGCTGATATTAATATTTAAACATTCTCTATGATAAAAAATGTTTGTAAAAAATATTTTAATAACACGGTTTTGGCGGTTGTAGAGTTATAATGATGGTGTTCAAATACATAACATTAGACTAACGTTAGCCAGCTTATAGTATCTTGAGCATACCTTCAGTATGCTAGTATTTATTTGAGATATTGTTTTTTATTAATTGAGCAGCAGAAAAAATATTATTTATATTAGTCGTCCAATTAGTCATTAGATTAGTCGACTAATTGATAAAATAATCGCCCAACTAATCGTTTAGTTAATAATCGTTTACCCCAGCCCTACTGTTTACACAAAGGGAAAACACAGATATTTCCCTGCGTTTTGGCCCCTCATTTACACAAAAACCCCGTTTTTATCACAGAAAACGATTATTTCTAAAAACTCCGGCCAAAGTGGAGATTTCTGAAAACGCCGGTTATGTGTTGTCGTGTCAGCTGGGAGAAACGGCGTTTTAGGTTCTCTCTTGTCGATTCTGAGGATTCTGATTGGCTTGCATGGCTTTATCCTTCTCCCTACAGTGCCGCCTATAGGTTTGGCATAGATATGATGGCGCTCGACGGCGTATTTATGCGAGTGTGTGCACGATGTTATTATTGAAAACGGAGAGGGGGAAAATATTTGTTTCTCTAAATACCCGGCTTTGTGTAAACGTGGCCTAAGAAGACCTCCTTTTCTCCACTCATTTACCTGTATTAACTGCACCTGTTTGATTGAGTGTGTGGACAGGTGTCTTTTATACAGGTAACGTGTTCAAACAAACAGACTCCAACCTCTTTACAATGGCCAAGGCCAGAGAGCTGTGTAAAGACATCGGGGATAAAATTGTACACCTGCACAAGTCTGGGATGGGCTACAGGACAATAGGCAAGTAGCTTGGTGAGAAGGCAACAACAGTTGGCGCAATCACTAAAAAATGGAAGAAGTTCCAGATGACGGTCAATCTCCCTCGCTCTGGGGCTCCATGCAAGATTTCACTTCGTGGGGCATCAATAATCATGAGGAAGGTGAGGGATCAGCCCAGAACTACAAGACGGGACCTGGTTAATGACCTGAAGAGAGCTGGGACCAGAGTCTCAAAGAAAACCATTAGTAACCCATGGATTAAAATCCTGAAGTGCACGCAAAGTCCCCCTGCTCTAGCAGCGCATGTCCAGGCTCATGTGAAGATTGCCAATGACCATCTGGATGATCCAGATGAGGAATGGGAGAAGGTCATGTGGTCTGATAAGACAAAAATAGAGCTTTTGGTCTAAACTCCACCCGCTATGTTTGGAGGAAGAAGGATAAGTACAACCCCAAAGAACACCATCCCAACCGTGAAGTATGGAGGGGAAAACATCATTCTTTGGGGATGCTTTTCTGCAAAGAGGACAGGACGACTGCACCATATTGAGAGGAGGATGGATAGGGCCATGTATCGTGAGATCTTGGCCAACAATCTCCTTCCCTCAGTAAGAGCATTGAAGATGGGTCGTGACTGGGTCTTCCAACATGACAACGACCTAAAACACACAGCCAGGGCAACTAAGGAGTGGCTCTGTAAGAAGCATCTCAAGGTCCTGGAGTGGCCTACTCAGTCTCCAGACCTGAACCCAATAGAAAATCTTTGGAAGGGAGCTCAGCCCTGAAACCTGAAGGGTCTGGAGAAGGTCTGTATGGAGGAGTGGGCCAAAATCCCTGCTGCAGTGTGTGCAAACCTGGTCAAGAACTACAGGAAACGTATGATCTCTGTAATTGCAAACAAAGGGTTCTGAACCAAATACTAAGGTCTGCTTTTCTGATGTATCAAATACTTATGTCATGCAATAAAATGCAAATGAATTACTTAAAAAAAAAAATCATTCAATGTGATTTTCTGGATTTTTGTTTTAGATTCCGTCACTCACAGTTGAAGAGTACCTATGACAAAAATTACAGGCTTCTACATGCTTTGTACGTAAGTGGGAAAAACTGCAAAATTGGCAGTGTATCAAATACTTATTCTCCCCACTGTATTGTCTTTTTTTATGTGAACTTGTATAACAGCACATTACATTCATTAAACTGCCATTAAAATCATTAAGCACCCCGCCTTCACAAGTTCCCACCCTGAAAGTATTCAGGCCATGCCTCATTCCTGCCCTCTGCCACCCTTCATCTGCTCTGCCCATCCATCCATATATGCAACCATCCTTCAGCCTGACTGAATGGCATCTGTCACTCTCCCCTTCACTCGCAGCACACACATCCCTCTTCTTCTCTCGCACTTTGTCTCCTGCTCTCCGGCCATCAGTCTCACCATCTATTATTCATAAATCTGTGATTTAGCAAGGTGTTTAGATTTCATCTCATTTTTACCACTTTCTCTCTGGACTCTGGAATAAAGTCCCGGGCTCAAGTGTCCAACCGTCTATCTAAATTACTTGCCTTAGCTGTTTCTTCGCTCTTGGCTTTAGTATGTTCCTTCATTAGTAGTACATCACTTATAGCGCCATAGTATGGACATGATGCCATGGTTTTCTTTCATGTTGGTGTACCATGTAAATACAATGGTATGTGAAAATGGTAATTAGAGATTGGTTATTATTTTTTTTTTTTTATGAAATACTGATAGAGTGTAAATATTATATAATATTAATAATGAAAATAAAAATAAGAAAGATTTATTTGTACCATCATTATCTTTATTTCCGGCTGCACATTTTTCACAATGTAATTAATTTTATTTATAAGTTAAATAATTATCCAAACAATATGATAATCAAATTATGGCATTTATTGGTGACCTAATATTTAAGAACTGATAACCAAATATGGTTTTAATACTCGTCAATCAAACCTGTATTATATTGGTCTAATATATCTATCGGCTCACCCATAATTATTTATAGGAGGTTTCTGTTATTCATTAGCAGATAAGAAGTGACTTGACATATAAAGACTCCAACAATAAAAAAAAATCATTATGAACAACACAAATTTATATATTTAAGTGTATAATATTTAAGAAGAGCTGTTTAATATTAATAAAAACATGAATAATACTATTCAACAACAACAAAAATTATTATTGTCATCTTCATCGTTTTTACTTTAGGCTAACTGTAAAGCGACACATTTCTATCTAGATAATGAATATCTGTTATTTTAAAAATGTATCCATACAATACATTAAACCAAAGATGCCATTAATGTGAAAAAACAGATAACTTATTAATGTGTGAATATTGGTAAAAAAAAATATTGTTTGGTCTAACTGTTTGGTCTATCAGATCATTTATAATTTTTTTATTTCTGTTATTTAATATAGAATATTAATATTATTGAAACTAATATAGATAATTAATATAGATATTATCTGTTAGATAATATTCATAATTAATATTATGAATATTATTAAGTACTTAGACAGTTATTCATAAGAAAAATAGAAAGTGAAGAGTTAATAAAACCCTGAAGAGGACACTTTAAAAGTCGAATGTTCTGTACCAGTGTTACACTGCATGAAACACTGGAGTGCAGTAGGGAAGCACATTATTTTCTTGTAATGTTGGCTCCTCTTGCACAGTCCAGCTGCAAGGAATTCCGCATCGTCAAATGATTCAGTTGTGCTGTGTAATACTCTCTGAAGCGTGTGGTTTACCTCGTTGGAGTCGATGCCGTTGTTGACAGACCAGGTGGTCTGGAAGTACTCCAGCATTCGCTGTTTGAGGCTCTGGGGAAGGTGGTGCACACGGATGAAGTCCTTCAGGTCTTTAGTGCGCGTGTGGTAAGAGGACCAGCGCGAGTACATGCGTTGGATTATGGCCGTCACGTTACCGAAGACCAGAGCATGCATCAATGCTGCCAAAGACAATGATACACATATGCATGATTGTACACAAAACTTGAATGTAGGGCTGTCCCAAATTCCTAGATTAAATTAGAGTAACCATTTATATATATATATACATATATATATATATACTTTATATACATGTGTGCATGTTATGTGCGTCTCAGAGTGGCTCCATTCACAGTTCTGCTTCACATGAGCTTATTAACATGCACCGAGCTGGTCTTAAACATCATCTCTACATATGCTGTGAGTTTGGGTTGCTTATAACGACCATCTGGGAACACAATGTGCGCCATTTCATAAACCTACGCCAATATGTTTCTAAATTTGCAAACTGCTTTAAACCCTCACTCTGAGTTTGCATGTTTTAATGTCCACATATCCCTGTTCAAGAAATTATAGTGGCTGTAGCATTTCTATCGCAAAGAGTGGCCAATTTGAAATACAAATTACGAAGTGAACATTTGGATTTAATGTTCTATGGCTGATATTAAACAAGGATTTGATTGTAGTTGTATCCGTAACAACAACAATCATCAGATCGTTGCCACCCTCTGCAGCCATTTGTTACAATACACAAAATACATGCTACGCTGCTGCTGTAGAGCAAGTACTGAGACTTGCTAATGCCAATACATTTGTGGCGAGCAGGACGAGGTCGAGGGACGTGAGAGTTTAATAGAAAGTTGCAGGTGTTTTTGAAGTTATACAACACCAGCGATAGTGTTATTGAGTTCTGTAGATGACAAAGTGATCAGCATGGATCCTTTCCGTTTCTGTAAAAACCAACTTATTTATTTATTTTACAGGCTCTTGTCTCTCTAAGATGTGACTGAATGTGTACATACATGTTGGGGTGTGTAATTGGTTATTATTGTGTGTTTGGGAAGGGAGCAGAACTGCCGATGGCAAATGGTGACATTTCACAAAACAAAGCCATGAATTTTGAATGCGAACAGCTGGCGTGACCTCATATCTTCTTAGTTAATGACAGACGAACATACAGTATGTAAACGCTTGCGGTTAAGTAGACATTGATGTTGTGTACTATTGTATGTTTTTAATTCACATTTTTATTTACTCTTTGTAAATATACACTTTATTTTAAATACGCTTTAATACTTAATAACTACAACCTTTTTCTCTATTGTCTTGTACAAACATGTATTCAAACTGGTTTTTATTTTCTAAAAAAGCAGCAGACATACAGCCTCCACTTTTTGGATCCTAATGATAATCCAATTTTGTTCTACCTCCAAATATATTTAAAAATATCTCCTAAACTTCAACCTTTCTGCTAAGACACACACACACCTCCGATAAGCATGGTGCAGATGGAGAAGATCTTCTCTGCGTCTGTGTTGGCAGAGACGTTTCCGAAGCCCACGCTGGTCAGGCTGCTGAGGGTGAAGTACAGCGCTGCAATGTAGATGCTCCGCAAAGACGGTCCACTGCTCAGCGTTCTGTTGACCGCTCCCATGTCCTCCTCGTATGGAGACTCCAAGCGCTTCCCGAGCTCATGAAGCCAACCTCAAGAGAGCGAGACAAAGAAGAAAGCGTTTGATTTAATTAAACTCACACTAAAATGTGTTTGTGTATCAGTTTCATATGTGTTCATATGGTGGAAAAGTAGCTCACACTGCAATGACACATAATCTAAAGGACATGGTTTTTCAAAAAAAAGTCTATTTCCGTCATTATTTACCCGTGTGACTGGGAAAAAAAATAGCTATTTTGTTTTGCATACAACGAATAGCATACCTGTTTCAGAACTATTAAAGTAGTCCATACATTTGTGTGGTATTTTCTAAGACATATGATAGCTTTGTATAAGGAAAAGATTGAAATTAAAGTAATTTTTAAATTAAAAAAAATTGGATCCTCTGTGACGGAACCATATATATATATATATATATATATATATATATATATTTTAATTTTTTTTAAATACAACCTTTCTGCAAATTTAATTGGCAGCAATGCCAGGTTTTGGCGTATATCTTAACTATTAATCACATTTTTGTAATGTTTTACATACACTACCATTCTAAAGTGTTTAGGATCAGTATGATTTTTTTTTGTTGTTGAAAGAATTAATACTTTTATAAAGCATGGATAAGTTAAAGATCAGAAACGAAACTTAGGACATTTATAATGCTACAAAAGATTTTTATTTCAAATAAATGCTGTTCTTTTAAAATTTACAGAAACACATTAGGCAGCACAAATGTTTTCAACATTGTGTGAAGAGTGATCTGTGTTCTTTGTGTGTTTGGGTGGGTTTTTACTAGTTTAGTTAAGCTTCTTGTGTTTACAGTTAATTTCCTTGGTTACACATTGTTTGAGTATCGTTTAAACCTGTGACTCATTCTGTTGATTGGTTTATCTCTGTATTTAAGTGTTTCTTTCCGTTCCTGCTCAGTTCCCATAGTGTTTAACTTGGTTGTTCAGTTCTGTTTTTATGAGCGTTTCATTTTGAGTTCTTTGTTAATAAAATACTATACTACTGCACTTAGATTCTTTACCTCAGGCTTTTCAAATGGTGGGTCGCAGAGGTGGGTTGTGCTAAGTCACTTGGCAGCAGCGAAAAATTAACATTTCAGTGAATGACAAACACACACACATACAGTAGTATACAACAATACAGTAGCAACACAATATACTATTAAACAGAAATCGCGAAGGTTGCGATTTAACTGTACAGTATATACGCTTCAAGAAAAGTTAAAAAAAGTGTTTTCAGTGTCTCAGAGTGACTTGGTTAAGCAGCTCACTAATTATTAAGTGGCTTATTAATTTTCCACAAAACTGCATTAACACATGTACAGTTGTACATTGTACAGTACCTGTCAAAAGTCTGGAAACACATAATGTAAACACCATGGATAACATTCATTCTACACCTAAGTATTTCAATCTGATACATCATTTTAACATCTATCACATTTGTACATTTTTGTGGCGGCAGACGTACGTACATGAACTGGTTACATGAAAAGCAGAAGGAACATCTTCCGACCCCCAAACAGTTCTCCACTAACAGAAGTTGTTTTGAATTCAAGTCAATTCATCAAACAGAGTTTGCCTTCTTTCTGAAACAATCCTTGTGTTTACTGATAAGGAGCGACCCATCATTTCTCACATACCACACTATCTAAATCAGGGTACCAGAGAGGAGATTCCAGCCCAGTGTTGCTATAGTAACAGCCCATCAGAGCAGGCCGGGGGTCAGTGGTCGGATGCCGAGGGGAACCAGCAACTTTCTATCAACGTGAACGCTACTACTTTCACATCGATCCGTCATTACGGACCATAGAGAAGACACTGGGCCTAATTACAGCCCCTCCTGCAGTCAAGATGGAGAGAGACGCGCGGCACAACGTCTGGGTGACTGGTTTGTTTGCCGTTCACTCACTCTTTCACTCACTTGGCTGCTTGCTGTCCCTGATGCACTATCACGGTCCATAACACCACCTAACAGTGTCAGGCTTATCGCGCTTTTTCTATAACTATAAATCTGCTTTCCATTCTCATTTTATGTCTTCATCGCTCTCTTTCTGTCTTGCTACGAACGCATCAGATTAAATCGATTCATATTATGTCCATATTGCAGCTTTAACAAATCCATTACAAACTGAAATGAAACTGGAGAGCCAGATTGCGTTGAATCAATTAACACACAGTTGCATGATTGCTTCGGTTCAATAATTAAAAACTTAAAGGGATAGTTTATCTCAAGATGAAAAGTCTGTCATCATTTACTCACCCTCATGTCATTTAAAACTTCTTTGAAATCTTTCTTATGTTTAAAGCAAAAGTTTGCTAAATGTGTTTTTTTTTTGCCCACATAATGAAGTCAGATGCCCCACTGATATGCATACTGCTGACTTAAAGGAGTAGCTCACTTTTAAAAAAACTTTTGCTGATAATTTACTCGCCCCCATGTCATCAAGATGTCCATGTCTTTCTTTCTTCAGTGGAAAAGAAATTAAGGTTTTTGATGAAAACATTCTGAGATTTTTCTCCATCTAATGCACTTTGCTTGTAACCAAACAGTTCAAGGTCCGACTGTTCAAAGGGCTTTAAACGATTCCAGACGACGAATAAGGGTCTTATCAAGCGAAACGATCGCTCATTTAATAAATAAATAACAAAGTTTAAGTTTTATAAGCTCAAATGGTCGTGATGCGCTTTCGTGATTCTCCTGTTCGAACTCGATCATCAAAATATACAAATCTTTCCTGATTCAATTCGTTCATTTCGTTCGTTGAATGAACCAAATGACACGAAAAAAGATTTGTTTATTTTGATAAACGAGTTCGAACAGGAGAGTCACGATCGCTATATTGCTCAGTGTACCTGGTTTTTCATATGAACAGAAAAATATACCGGAACCTGTCTTCTCTTGAGACAGCATTGTGACAGCAAATGCTTTGCAGCCTTTTTCATTTATTTATTTATTTACCAGGACAATGCTTATTAACAACAGTACACCTGTAACATGCCAGAGTTAGCCAAGGGCTAATTTTCATCTGTAGTCCTGTTTGCCAGTTGTACAAAGGCACCCTAGGGAAAGTACACATTTAAAAGTTGCATGTACGACAGCTGTATTTGTCTGCTGCAGCATAGCTGCAATAGACAAGAATTATAATCATTCAGTAACGATGATATGCTAAAGCCGCCCGTATGTTAACGTGATTGTTTACAAGGTAGTTTGTGGTAGTTTGTAAGGAACACCTGCGATTTCTCAAAATATTTGAAGCTGTCTTTTTTCCACTGCAGAAAATTCTTAGCAATTGTGTAAACATGAATTTGCACGTTTTGACTTCAAGCGTATTAAAAACAACACAATGCCTTTGTCATTTTATCATTTTAACATTAGAAACTTGAAATTCACAACAGCGGGTCTTTAAGTTTATTTAATTTGTCTCTTTGCTCTATTGTATTTGTCCTACAGTATGTAATTTACTTCTTTGTTATTATTTTTAATAACAAAAATAAAATTAAAAATAGCCATATCGAGATATATTTGTTATCGTGACACAAACATTTCCCATACTGTGAAATAAGATTTTGGTCATATCGCCCACCCCTAAAAGCAAATGTCAAAAAGTACTAGACTACAAATCATGCAATATGGTAAAAGTGTTTAAGCCTGGTTCACACGGCAGGAACATAAGGCCGATTTTAGCCCCGATTCCCCCCTTCTGACAATCTTAAGGATGCTCCGATTATCGTGTGTGGTGTGTTAAGACTGCTCTTGTCTGCCAAATCGGGGATATCCAACATGTTGTATTTTTTTGGCCCGATTTCTCCTTGTGTGTGGTGTCCCCCGGGGACGAATGAGCTTGTGAACTGTGGTGTGTAGCCAATCAGAAAGCGAGGTGACGAGGCGCAGAGGAAGCACCGGCGGGAAACAAAATCAAAACAGCCGGTGCCCGGCGGTATGGCGCACCAGAAAGTCCGGTGGACGTCGGAAATGGAGTCCATGCTCGCGTTGTTTCCACTTCTTTGCCCATCGCCTTTTCTTTTGAGAACGTTTTTTTTTTTTTTCACTAAAAACAAACTACACACTATCGCCACTGCATCCTCTTCATCCGCCATGATTGTTTACTCTGAAGTCACGTTTGATCTTGAGGGATTTCGAGAGATTTTCCGTCTGACCTGGGAATGCTCGGGAGTCAAATCGGTTTGTGTGTTGATTTTGCCGTGTGGCTGCCACACACTGTACGACCAAAACTGTTAGACCCGTGATTTTTTTATCGCCGTGTGTGGGGTCTCTCAGGTTTGGAAAATCGGCCGACAATTTTAAAATCGTCCCGTGTGAACCTAGCCTGGTTCAACCAGACTCTAGTTCATTTCATTTCCACATAGAGTCTGGAACCGCTCCATTGAGAAACGTTTCCTTCTTGTAGGCGGGTTCACTATTAAAGTTCAAATCTATTGGATCTGCCCAAAGTCACTCACGATCTGCCATAGCCAATCGCTAACGGGGTGTCGTGAGTGACGTATGTCACGCGCCGAAATGGCTGGAAACAACAAGTGCGAATGATCAGAGGATTATGTTTACAATAGGATTTCAGTCAACGAGCGCCGCAGGTTTTGTTAATCTAGGAACAATTATTAATTCGAAATGTATATTTGACATGAAGGACAGTGATATATTCATTCAACGGTGGAAGCTGTGTCTAATCATTACAAATACGCCGCTGTGGTCGTTTTCTGATCTGCCGCAAATGCTGTAACGTTAGCTGCTACAGTGAATGATCAGTCTGTCTCTATCTGCAGATGTGTAATAAACAACAATTTTTCATATTACGTCTTATTGTTTCTTAATTACCTTAATTATGGTCTTCAAAGTATGTGTTTGTACATTTTTATGTGGCATTTATTTTTTTTTAGTAAAACAAATCAACCATTGCCATCTAAAACTGAAAATCAAATATCTTCAAAGTATGGTTTTTCACATTTTTATTTATGACAATTATTTTTAAAAAATCACAACCAATTTGTATGATTTAGGCCTACAACATATAAAACTGACACACCAACCTCCTGCACGAGTGCACAAATGGGCTCAAAATGTTCTATTCATCACAAGAATCAGTAAATTTACAGTTGGGAATATGAGTGACTGACATGACTCCTGAGCGGATCTTCAACAATAGTTGAAGTCAACCACCGCGAACACCAGGCTACACCGTCCGTCCAAAATGTCACGGTCATCGTGCACGAGCTGCCCAGCACAAACTTCCAAACTTTCTGCCTCCTTCACTTGGTCTTCAGTTGTGCAACAAGAGGTGAGACGATAACAATCCGGCTTTAAATTCTGTATATTCGGCAGTTTCTTTTCCAACAACGGACCGAATAGCTTTTCTCACGTCTTTCTCCGCTGCCATTACTGAACTGAAACTGACGCGCTTACATCAACGTCATCGTTCTCAGCCACTCCCTCTATTCGCTGATTGGTCCTACAAAAAATTGATTTCTGGAAACCTAAGGATATGGAGCGATCCCAGACGCAGTGCTGAAGTAAAATGAAATTGAGCGGAAGTGCGTAGGAGGGCGCAGCCAGGCTAGTGTGAACCAGCCTTTAGAGGTCATATCATTGTGTTGTGCATGGAACAAGGGGAAAATAAGTCTTTATTAATCTGCCCCTATAATCATTATTTGTGTGGACAGGAATAAAAGTTGTTGGTGTTTTATTGCCGTGAATCGGATGTATAGGTAATTTATGGTGTTTCGCAAAAATGTTGGTACTGTAGATTAGAAGCATGTTTTCCATTTCAAATGTTGTATGCCAGTCTCACCTATATCCCAGGTGTCCGCGTTGCTCTCCACCTCCTTCTTGCCGATGATGTACCAGATGCAGGCCATCCAGTGGGCCAGCAGTGCAAACATGGACATGAGCAGGGTCAGCACCACCGTACTGTGCTGGGAGTAACGGTCCATCTTCTGCAGCAGGCGCAGGAGTCTCAGCAGGCGCACGGTCTTTAACAGATGAACCACTGACACCTGGCAGAGGGGAAAGGGGAACTCACATTAACTGTCGAGGATTTGCTCTGCATGCAAGTGCATTTGAGGGCTGAGAAGGGAAGGTGCCTGTCTTGTTAAATTATATAGTGCCGTGCATCCAAAATGAATTAAAACCTAATCAAACAAGACAACGGGGTAGAAGTCCTTAGATTCCATCAATAAATCTTTAAAAGTACTGTGGTGGTACTATGGCATAGTACAACTATATTATAACCACAGTAAAAAAGCATGTTCAGACAATGGTGCTTTTTAGAAAGTAAATACAGAGGGGAAACATGCAATAAAACAGTTTAACAGGAACATTTCCTAGATGTTTAGAGGTCACGGATATCTTGCATAATGTTGTAGCATGCAGTCAGGTATGAGAGCACTGAGACAGCTGGATTAAAATATTTAAGAGATCATCATTAGACTGAGAGACATTTAAGCCAATTATAGTGGTATAAAACAGCTTTTCTCTTTTCACTCCGTCTCAGTCATGCAGAACTGCATGTTCTCAGGTGAATGGAAATATAGCGCCCACTAATAAACAAGACAATAAATCACAAGAAATAGACTGCAGTCGTGGGATTTGAAGAATATAAACATACAAAAACATTGAGAACAAAACAGGCTGCTGAAGTATATGTTTTTCAGTATGACAATCATTATCTTTCTGTTCTCTGGAGCGCTGACTGTGCTCTCCGTCACTGTCATACTGTCAGAAAACAGACAAATTTATCATTAAGGTTAAAAATGACATAAACCTTCCACTTAATGCTTTTAAAGAAGTCACTTCTGCTCACTATGGCTGCATTTATTTGATCAAAAATATAGTAAAAGCAGTATTATTATGATATACAATTACAGTATAACTAAGTATTTTAAAATGTAATTTGTTCCTCTGATGGAAAATCTGAATTTTCAGCAGCCATCACTCCAGTCTTCAGTGTCACTTGATCCTTCAGAATTCTGAAATATTTCTTATTATTATCAATGTTTGAAAACTCTTGCGCTACTTAATATTTTTGTGGACTGGAAACTGTGATAGATTTTCAGGACTCTTCGAGTTGTAAGTTCCTTTCTAAATAATATTTTCTTTTTAAATTTTGACCACAAACTTTTGACTGGTACAGAAGGCTATTTCATTTTACGTCATCTACAGTGCTGAGCATAAGTGAACACACCCATGCTAGTTGACAAAAAAAAATCTTTATGCCTTAATTAAAAAAATGAGGTGAGGAAAATCCAACCTTTAAAAGGGACACTCCACCCATTTGCGTTAAGCTTTCCATTATTAGAAACCCAGTCATACTATTGAATGGTCGTGCAACACTCTCTCATTTTCCCCTGAGAAGAGAGAAACCCACTATTTACCTTTTTCACTTCATCATCATCATTTTGATGATCATCATTTTACATCATTGTAGGAGGAAGTGTAAGAGGGGGGGATTTACAATTTACACAGTAAAAATAAATTGTTACCAAAATATTTATGCTAAAAATTATTGTTAGACCCCGCAGACATGCTATTCTATATATTCAGCAGAATGCAGGGCTCCAGACTGCGACCATTTTTCTTGCCCGTGCGACCAAATATTTATTTAGGTCGCGCTGGCGCAACCACAACGTTGCCGAGCAGTGAATGCAAACAAAATGAAAGTAGAGCGAAAATACGCAACTCATTTATGCTTGCGACACTGTTAATAGAAGATCCAGACTCTGGAGATCTAGTGAAGAAATCCATTGAATTCGCCTCAGAATTAATAACGTAATCGCTGCGAGAAACATTGCGATTCGGAATCGGTTTATTCCAATTAGAAACACTTAGGCTTTCAGTCCACAAATCAGCAACATTTACCGTGGATTTTATGGATTTAGGCTAATGTGGTAACTCTAACCATAACTATGGTATTGTGACAGAAATAGTATTGTGACAGAAATAGTCAAACACTTTCAAGTACTACACATCTTTTTCCATCACTTCAAAATTATATGTAAATGCTATTTTTAATGTGATGACCAACACATTTTTTGTTCATCCTTCAAAGATTGTCCTAAAACAAAAACATTTAAGATGTAAGAAAACTCTCATTTAAACATTTATTTTAAAATAAATTCATTAATAAATTACCATTGTAAACAGTAGGATCCTTATTTGCTATTTTCACTCCCTAATATAAATGTTTCTACTCGTTTTGCATTTTTAATTAATATTAAGACATTATGAATTATAAAAATTAAAGTTCATTTCATCTACACCCTAAATTAAGCTTAGTGCTGTATTGTCAGCCCCAGTGCGACCAGATCTTTTTTTGTAGAACTCAATGGCTCTGGTGATGCTGCCCACAAATGTTAGTCTGGAGCCATGTGAACTTAAAATAAAACTGCACATAGTAATATATGTACGTTAAGTCTATTAATTATTTAATAATTTGTCAGTATCACAGTTATTTTGGGGGAAATTTGAATGATTGCATTGCAAGCTGAAAGTTTTTTGTTTGCGCTCCTACAATTTTCAGTCAGGGGCTACAGCACTCCTAGTAAAAAAAAAGCCTGTAATGGCTTTAGTACATTTATTTTTTGTGCAATGTTTTATGTATTAAAGGAGATTTAAAGTGAATGAGCAAGTGAGAGAGTATTAAATAGCCCATATATATTCTATAACTATATTCAGTATGACTACATAAAAATAACACTCTGTATTAACCTGATCACAAACTTTCACACATGCACACTACCAGATCAGTAACAGACACGTACACGCTATTAGATCAGTTTGTCCAGAGCTCCAGGCAGTAACTAGCCAGCAATATTCATCACAGCTTCTCTTATTAAAATCAGACAATCCCTATGAGAAACAACCCTTTCACATCCCTGCAGCATTAAATAATAATCCACGTTGTAATGGCTACAATCTTTCACTTGACAATCAAATATTAATAAACATCAAGAGATCATGGTCTCAGAAGCAAAAACCAATGAACATTTATGTCATTATAGAAAAAAAAAAGGCTGAACTTAACAGTTGGTTAAAAATTAGATAAGGAGGGTGAAAATGGAGGTAAGGGCACGGTAAGGGTTCATAAACTGAGCTTTATGTGGTAATGCATCTATGTGAATTAATAACTAAATCACTCATACTGCTAACAATGTGTATGTGGGTTAAGAGGGAAGTAATTGGGATAGAAATGGGAGTGATAGAGAGCAAAAAGAAAGGAATGGAAAGGGTAGGAAAACAATAAAGGAAAGAACAGTAAAAGAAAAAGGAAAGAGGATGAAAAGAGAGAAAAAAATAAAGGAAATAAAACGAAATTGACTAGAAAAAGAAAAGGAAATGGTAAAGGAAAAAGAAAATGAAAATGAATAGGAAAGAGAAGGAAAGGAAAAGGAAATAAATGGAAAATGACTAGGAAAAGAAAGAGGAAATCAGAGGAAAAGAAGAAAGATAAAAATGTAAAAGAATAGGAAAGAAGTGTAAACGAAAAGGAAAAGGAAAGAGTGAAGGAAAGGGAATAGATATGGGCCAGGAAAGGAAAAGGAAATAGGAGGCATGGAGAGGGAAAGGAAAATGGCCAGGATTGAAAAAGAATGAAGAACAAAGGAGATGAAAGGAAATGGAAAACAATGGGAATTGGCCAGGATAGGACTAGGAAAAGAAAGAGGAAATCAGAGGAAAAGATGAAAAATAAAAATGTAAAAGAATAGGAAAGAAGAGTAAATGAAAATGAAAAGGAAAAGGAAAAGGAAAGAGTGAAGGAAAGGGAATAGAAATGGGCCAGGAAAGGAAAAAGGTAATAGGAGGCATGGAGAGGAAAAGGAAACAGAATGGAAAATGGCCAGGATAGAAAAGGAATGAAGAACAAAGGAGATGAAAGAAAAAGGAACACAATGAGAATTGGCCAGGATAGGAAAATGAAAAGGAAAGCAGTAAAAAGGAAAAGCATAGAAATTGGCCAGGATATAGGAAAAGAAAAAAAGAGGATATGAGTGGAGTGGAGTGGAAAAAAAAATGACAGGATAGGAAAAAGGAAATGAAAAGAAACGAGGAAAAGTAGAGGAAACGAATGGAGATTGGCCAAGACAGGGAAAGGGACACCAAATTAAAATAAAAAATAAAATAAAATAAAATAAGAAAAGGAAATCCGAGAGGAAAACAGAGGTCAGTGGAAAAAAAAGAAAGAAATATCATTCTACACTTCTGATGTCTTTTTGTGGGTTCATGTCTGTGTGCATGCTTGTTGCATTTGTGTGTGTGTGTGTGTGTGTGTGTGTGTGTCTGTGTAGTGCAGCTGAGGGGCAGATGTGAAGGGATACTAGTGGAAAAGAGGTGCAATCTGTAATTGGAGCAGATTTAAGGGAACATCTCGGAGACAACAAGGTCTATATTACAGTGGCACTTAAGTAGAGTCCACTGCATTTCACTCTCCACTTAATAAGCCTCAGTGGATTTCAAGCACTCTTTTGTTGTGTTTCACCGTACAGAGGGATGCAGGGTTTCATTACTGCATGTGTCATCACTTTAAGTGTGTGTGTGTGTGTGTGTGTGTGTGTGTGTGTGTGTCCAAGAGGCACTGATCGATTCTGCCAGTCTGGATTGGCCAGAAAAGCTGACTGTTTTTTTTTTTCTGTGAATTAAAACCAGGAGCCTGTGACCCTTGATTTTGTATTGGAGTCATCAGAGGCAGTGTTAACCAATTTCAGAGCCTGTAATACATCTTTATTTGTACCTGAACCCATGATCACTCATTAAAAGATCTACATCCATGATGTCATCAAGAGGACTTCATGGTCCACCCACTCAGGGTCACAAAGAGTACCGCTGTTCAATATTTTGTTTTACACTTAAGGAAGAGCAAAACATATCATTGAGCTCAATTCAGTGCATGAGGGGCTAAAAAAACAGTCCAGATGGAATCTAGCATCTTTTGCTTTTAAATGGAGGAAGAACTTCAACAGTAAATGGATTTCACCATGGTACTAAACTCTAATACGTTTACATATTCGGCAGACACGTTTATCTAAATCGAGTTTACATTGCATTCAAGGCATACGTTTTATCAGTTCATGCTTGTAAATCCTTGAGCTACAGGAATGCTTTTCCTAGTAGGTACAATAGGTTTTCACAGCAATGCATTTTGCTAGAAGCATAGACTGTAAAAACATATGGACGTAGTATCCGTGACTCTCACCCTTAGCTTTCTGAAGAGCATTTTTGAAGCCTAAAGTGGGTGTCGTCGACCGTCGCCATCTTGGCAGCGCGTCACCTCTCGTCACCTCCCAATTAAAATAAAATGGGCGTGGGTCTATCTGTTCCGTGAGAGCAATAGTACTGCATAACGAGTGTGGTCTCTATATCTACAGACTATTATGATTTAGTTTTTAAATCTAAACTCCAAAAAGCACTGAAATCATCAGACATCCATTAGTGCATGTGAGGGAAACAACTGGAAATACAGCGCTAGTTGTTCTCTCCATACTCAACAACAACGGAATCCAACTGTGAGCATGGGCGAAGGTATAATACGTGTATTAAATTGTATAAAATAATCGTGAAAAAAGCACAAACACAGCTGAGGGTGACAACGCTAACAGACAGCAGACAGCCTCAAGTGGCCATGCCCTTAATTATGCAGAACTTTAAGGCTTAATATAATTTAAACGGATGAGTTGTAAAAAAATTCACCCCCGTCACAGTCGTCATGAAGGGCAAAATTAGCTATATACACCAAAACAACTATTTGCCACCAGGCTGTAAACATGTTTTTTTTTTTCTGCTGTGAAGTTGGGCATTTTAACAATGGGGAGATTTGACTCACTTTTGCTGTCAGCCTCAAGCGGCCAGTCGATGAATTGCAGTTTAACTCACTTCCGTGCTGGTTTCAAGAGAGAGACGGGGAGGTTGCCACTTGGGTAGAAGTCAGCCCATTTTCAGCCTGGGATTTTAATGCCCAAGACCAAAGATCAGACAATTTTTTGGGAAAAAAATGTGGGGGTTGGTGTGGGGGCAAATGTAACTACTATTACTTATATATTATACTTATATATTACTTAACAGATAGTAGCAGGAATATTAGGCTGCTGTCACTTTAAGACCAAATACATGGACCGAATATACTGACAGACATCTAGTTTCTTTCTCCACTGTTTACATTCACTTAAGACATAACTGAGAGAATACTTGCAGAGATGGGTATTTTGATGTGTGTGAATGTTCAAGTGCAAAGAAATGCGAATCACATTCGTGCCGATCCGTACAGATCGCAGATCAACTGCGATCCGGTGCACCCCTACTCTTGTAAGGTTTATGTTTGCATTTTCTTGTTTTCTGTGTGCCTTTTTTAACCATGTTCCAGCTTTACATTTTTTGTCGTGGTTTCTCGTTAGTTGATCGATAAGTCCTCACCTGTGCTTTTTGTTTCTTTCTTAGTTACTCTGTACATGTAGCCCTCATTTAGAAAATGTTCTTTGTCTGTTCTTATCTCTAGTGTTGCTCCAGTGTACAGCTATTTTATGACCCCCTGCGTTCTCCTGTTCTCCTGCATGTTTGTTGTTTAGTTTGAAGAGTTAATAAAAGTGTCTGCTGCAATTAGATCCTGCCTAAACTACCTTGTAGCAACTCTCCTGCTGCATCCACCACCGTGACAACTCCAGAATGCTGGGATATATTGCGCTTATTTATGGAAATATTAATAAGTTTAATTCATCACAGTGTTTTCTTTATATAAAAATGCCCTCAACATAGTGCTAGCTGGTTCAAAGCATTATCAAATTAGCCATAATATTTAAAGGGTTGGTTGATTATGATTCACTTTTCTAACTTGTTAGTGCATAATTTTGCTGTTTGAGCATAAACAACATCTGCAAAGTTACAACGCTCAAAGTTCTTTTAAAAGAAATTGCTTTACAACAAACGGCTGGTAGGGACTACACAAGCTTCCTCCCAGGTTAGTGACATCACAAACCCTAAAACTGACATAAACTCTGCTCCCGGTTATGTGATTTATATATTATCATGACAGAAGAAATCAATGACTAGAAGATAACTCCACACAAGCTACATAAATTCATCAACTAACCATTCACTGGTGACCTTCTTCTTGAGTCTCTCCATCATTGATTTAAACTCCGGTTTGAACATAAAAGGCTAAAAGTTTTCAAAATGTTCAATACATGTCTGTGTGAAGTAATCTAAGCTATTAACACACGAGGGGGCGTGGGAGGGGGCATGATCGGCTCGGAATGCATTTTCAATGTGCCCATTGAGTTTTGCTACATTCATTGCAGGACATTTCATGAAAATGCAATCGCAAGTTTCTTGACAATTTAATTAAGAAAAATAACATTTGAATGATCATTTTGCCACAGTTTTTGCTTGAACATGTTACACATATCTAATCATTTCTGTAATACATTTTCATTTTAATTTTGCCACGTATAAAGCGTTTCAGTATGCATATTAAAACTAGTGTATGAAATGGCAAACGTAAATTATGTAATTTCATTTTCATTTTGGCACCAAACGTTGCTAGAATGGTAATGTAAAATGTAAATTTAAATACAGAATGCAATGCCATTTTACATATTGCATTGTCATTTTGCATATTACATTTCAAATTGAATATTGCTACCCGTGTGCTTCCATAAAAACGGTGCACTTTTGCTCACCCTCAAAAAGTAACAATTTCAACATGCTGACGCTTGTACATTAAAATGTAAATGTACATTTACATTTATTCATTTAGCTGACGCTTTTATCCAAAGCGATTTACAATTGCTATATGTCAGAGGTCGCACGCCTCTGGAGCAACTAGGGGTTAAGTGTCTTGCTCAGGGACACATTGGTGTCTCACGGTGGATTCGCACCCGGGTCTCTCACACCAAAGGCATGTGTCTTATCCACTGTGCCATCACCACCCCTTATAAAAATATCTGTGGGGTATTTGGGCTAAAACTTCACATAGACACTCTGGGGACATCAAAGACTTATTTTACATCTTGTGAAAGGGCATTATAACACCCCTTTAATAATATATATTTTTTAAAAGCATGCAGGTGACAATTCTGAAGAGTTTTATGCTGGCACATATTGTCTGTGTGCCTGTTTTTTCTCAAAATCATGTAAAAGTTGTAAATTCAAAATGCATTTGAAAACTGTGCAAAAATCTTCCCACAGATTTTTCCCTCGATAGATTCATTATAAATTTTGTAATATATGCATTACTCACCACGCTGACTTTAAAGGCGTAAAGGAGATCAAAGGGTAGAGCAGCAACCAGGTCGATGATAAACCAGGTAGTCATGTAATGGATGCAGATCTGCCGCGCATCGAAGATCACCTGGCCCGACTTACTCACGTACGTGGTGCGGAAACTGAACACGATGTCTAAAGCGACAGACAGAGTCAGCGTCTTCAAAAAATACACCATCAGCATAATATCAATGAACGACAGTGTGTCAACTGAAGCATTTATAACAGCAAAAATGCTTTTCTGACAGCTATATATCAAGTGGAGAAATGAAAAATTCATGTGCTATCAACAAATCTAAACACAAAGCGTTTTAAATAGTGGCCTTATCTGAGTCACACTGCCAAAATAAATTTCAGGAAACTGTTAATTGTACAAGACAAAAAAATGCATGTAGGCTTATAATATTATTAATTTAAACTCAAATCAATAACATAATGCATGTGTTTAACTTTTAAACCATATGGAACCAACATCCTTTACATATTATGTTGTTCACAAATAGCTTGATTTAAGGAAACATGCATGTTATTTCTCCATCAATCATGGAAAGAAACTCAAATGGCAGATATCTTTAAAAAAAACTAATTTTTTGTTTCTGTAAAAACAGTCCTTTTAATTCCAATTAATTTCTTTCTGAATAGCAGGATACTGAAGGATATGCTGCCCTGTAGCAAAGCTGTACCACAGAGGGTTAATGGAAGATGTCAAAGAGCCTGATTTAATGACACAATTATAATCATGTGTAAAGATATAGATGGGATTGAGCAAAGACAATCTCATAAATCATAATCATGCTAGCAATGAAAAACATACCATGTAATTGACTAAATATATTATGTCAAAAAATCTAAATTGGATTCTCTTACCAATGATGAAGAGAATCTCGACTGCAATGTCAGTGACGGTGGTGCTACGTGTCAAGTCTTGATCACCAATAAAACAAACGTTGTACGGCACCGTCACGGCGACATAGAATGTAGCCAGTAGTATTAGCCAATCCCAGCCAGCTTTGAAGGTGCTGAAGTGGAGAAGAATGAACTTGGACTTCTTGGCATCAGCGACCTTATATTCAGGGAGAGCCGGTGGATCACCAAACACGTTCTAGAAAGAGAGAGAACAATTATGGTAGAGAAACTGGTTCTGTTTTATCTTTTCGTTCCTGTATTTTTCTACATCATCAGTATTTTAATGGTCTCACCTTGTTAAGTTTGATTTTACTCTTTTTCTGACGGTTGTGCAGGTGTCCTGAAATGTGGTACAGAACTGTGCTAGATCGCAGCCGAGTGGAGCCAAACGGAGAACTTCCCTTGACCTGCTCGCGGCGGCACTCTGAGAAAAGGTTGGACTGTTGTTATGAAAGTCAAGGGCAATGGGGATACAATCCATCAAGAAATAAAAACATACTGCACAAGATAAATTCCATTAATACATAAAAACAAAGAATACAATGCATCATTATAGAAAAATTCCTGTGGTACTGAGGTTGTTATAATGTTTTTTTTTTCTTTTTAATTATTAAAAAATATTACTACATGAACAACTCAACCTTTGTAGCATTACATTGACTTGAGCTTGTATTATAACAATACTTGAAATAAAGTAAGACTCTGAAAAATGGGGCAATGTTCCTCTAATCTAAATCATCATCATCCCCTAACAATTTGAATTCTTGCAGAAAAAATGTTATATACCAGCAAATATTGGCGAAAGAAAATGTTGCTCATCATTCTGTGAATGTTTTTTGTAGCTTTGTGAAGAAAAGCAGAGATTTTCTATCAATACTTTCATGCAAATAGTGCTTGCTGCTTTCATTGAGTGCAGGTTTACTCAAAGTGTCCCGTTTTCCTTCTATTGCCCTCTATGCTGCTGTTACACAAAAGCTGAAAGCTGGTCTGAAACAAGAATAACTTCCTTTATGCTGGTGACCTGCTTTACACCAGTGGTTTCCACTAGTTGGGGATCTGCTATCAGAATGTTTTCATTCCCATATTGAAAACATCTGTTTCAATTGATCTAGTGACTGCTAAATACTGCAGTAGGTTCATTTAATTTAGTCTGAGGTCTTGAACTAAAACAGTCTGTCAAGGGAACAGCTGAAAGTTTACCTGAAATGGTCTGACAAATGCAGTTTCCTCTTCTGTGGTGATGCATTTTCAACTGAAACACTTTGTCTAGACTGTTTTGTAAAGCCAAACCTATGGTAGCTTGTTTCCGCCACAGAATAAAAATAAAACGTAATTGCGACTTTTTATCTCACAATTGCGTTTTTAGATTTTTTTAAGCGTTTTTAGAATCGCAGTTTGTTTTACTCAAAGAACTTTATTACTCGCAATTGCGACTTTATATCACGCAATTCTGACTTTATATAACAGTAATAAATATAAACAGAATTGTGAGATATAAACTTGCAATTGTGAGATAAGAAGTCGCAATTATCTTTTGTTTTATTCTGTGTTTTGCTTTATTGGTCTACTGCCGAGGTTGCTGTGGTCACTGACTGTGTACGAGGTTTCTTTGACAAAAGTAGAGAAGCTGGAAGCTTTAAAAAGTTCATACATCAGGAAATGGTTGGAATATCCAAGCTGCCTCAGCAGAGTGGGACGTAATATTGCCGAGGAGTTTAAGTGTCAGAGGTCAGACTGGAAATGTCATTAGTAGAGTCACGCAACAAATGTGTAAGGGAGGCAGCACTTGTGTTAAAAACTGGAAGAAAGTGGTTAGCAAAGAAAGCTGTGAGAGATGCAGAGGCTGCCCTTCAAATTGGTGATATCGTGGGAAAGGTACAGCATGGAAAAGGGGGTTTTGGGCTCACTTTAGTTCCTCCTAAATGGTACAAGGCAGCCCCAGCTCAATGAGGTGCAAAAGCAGGAGGAGAGGATGGGGTGTATAAAGGCCATTTCCCAGGCCAAGCAGGGAGAATGGATGAGATGGGAGAGTGTGGAACAACACAAAATGGGCTGGCAAGACCTATTGTTAATGGAACAGAGTAGGATCGGTTTCCTTATCAGGTCAAGATACAGTATGATGTTCTCCCATCACCACAGAACCTAAACCTCTGGGTGGGAGAGGATCCCTCATGTCCTTTGTGTTCATCACCTGGCACATTATAACAGGATGTAAAGTGGCTCTTAGCCAAGGTCGGTTTACCTGGTGCCATGACCAGGTACTGTGATGTTTGGCTTTAGCATTGGAAGACAAGCGCAACATGACTAATAAGTTGCCACCTGTTCTAGCAAAACATTACACACAGAAGACAATAGCCTCTGCCCAAGAGGGAAACCACCAAGAAGAAGGTGCCAAGGACAACTGGAAGCTGCTAGGAACTGGAAGATGCAGGCTGATCTTGATCAATGGCTTATTTTTCCACCTGAGATTGCCACCATTAACCTTCGGCCAGATATTGTCTTGTGGTCTGGATCAGCATGACTTGTTCACCTGATAGAGTTAACAGTGCCTTGGGAGGATGCTGTAGATAAGGCGTATGAGAGGAAGAAACTGCGGTATGCTCATATAGTCACTGAAGCAGAACAGCAAGGATGGAGAGTCCGGGTTTATCCAGTGGAAGTGGGTTGTTGAGGATTTGTGGCACTACCACACTATGGTTTCATTTTTTATAGTTTGCATAGTTATCATAGTTATTACAATCCCGTGTATTATATTTTGCGTGAATGAGGATTTGTGTTGGACAGATATTATTGTGTTTTCCGGTAGGTAGAATGCCATATGGAAACGTTGCCACTAAACCTGCTTTAACGACAACAGTAGGGCTTCGACAGCTTTAATCAAATGGGTTGGCGCATCCAGTATGGTCGGATTGCGGTGGGATTGTGGCGGTAGAGATTGTGGTTAGGTCACATCAAGGGTTTATGCCACTAAACTACAAGGAAGGAGCAACCTCAGCAACCGGAGGTATTTTAAGCACAATAGAAGGGAAAGAACAGCTGATGTACAGGTAAGTGAGTTGGGCTGAGTTGAGTGGGGGACAGAGGGGGGGTGTTGTGGGCTAGTCAATGAAACACTGAGGATGGAAGGTGCCCAATTAAAGACCCCAGAGATGTACCATACTCAGCTCAATCCAGAAGGTTGTCAACCTGATCCGCTGGGGAGATCGCACTGCGGTCCAGCATCGCAGCCGTTGTGTGTGCTGACGCACCGGGAAATATACTTCAGCCATTAACACCAGACAGAAGGATATTCACATCACCATATAAAAGAAAGCGTAAATGGATGGAGACGCATAAGTCACTGTAAAGCTACATCTTAGTTGGTGTTTATCTTAGAAAAGCCGAGTGCAAATCAGCATAAAGTTTTAAAGGATCCTTTGGTCTAATAAAACATCGGTACCTAGTCAACTGTTCTCTGAAATTTGTTTTCATGATAATCAAAAGTAAAGAGTTTTATCTCTAAAAACTGTTTAGCGTATAATGCTAGTACTGGGGGCATTTACTAAGTAAAAAGAAATCGCTAGTTTATACCACTAACAAGGCTCAAAATAGCCCCACACTAACACAGAAACATAATGAGGGTCCATACATACAAAACGAAGCATTGAGAACTTTGTAAGTGTACAGACCGTTTAATAAGAAGATAATTTTATGCAGACAGTTCACTTCGTGTATACAGACAGGAGCCATCTTTGGAAAACAGTCACGACAAGTCAAGCCACGAACGACGTGCTGAGTGATCTGAACTGTATGAAGTTCAGCGAACTTCTGAACTGTATGAGCGGCATTCGGGGATCGACTTATCGAGACTACACAAAGTGAACTGTCTTTCAAAAGTATCTTCTTATTAAATGGTCTGTACACTTACAAAGTTCCCAATGCTTCGTTTTGCATGTATGGAACCTCATTATGTTTCTGTGTTAGTGTGGGGCTAGTTTGAGCCTTGTTAGTGGTATCAACTAGCGATTTTTTTTTACTTAGTAAATGCCCCCAGTACTAGCATTATACTCTAAACAGTTTTTAGAGATAAAACTCTTTACATTCGATTATCATGAAAACAAATCTCAGAGAACGGTTGACTAGGTACCGATGTCTTACTAGACCAAAGGTTCATTTTGCACCCGAGTTCTCCTTTAACATCTACTCTCGTGTAATGGAAATCACCTTTTTTTATGTTTATTCTGTGGTGGAAACAAGCTTCCATACAAAAAATGTTTTATAAATAAAATAAAATTCAACTCAACCCTAAGTTTGAAAACCAAAAACTAGGCTACTGTGACGCTGTGCGGAGAAACAGAGCTGAGGCTGGGTCCAAACGCAGTGTAGCTTTATTAAACAAACTTAAAACAAGACACTAGAAGCAAGACTCGAGAGACGTGAAAGCACCAACGTAACACACATAAATTCAATAACCAACCAAGACAGGGCAGAAACACAGGGCTTAAATAATCAAGGACAAACGAGCTAGACAAGATAACAAGGGGGCGTGAGAAATGAGAAACACCTGGGATAAATAATAGACTGGCAATAACTAATAAGGAAAACACACAAAACCACTACGTGACAGCTACCAAGTGGCTAATTTATTTATTTATTTTTAAATACGTGCTTCGACTGTGCAAAAATAAAAATGAAACAAGCAAAAAGTGCCAACAGGAGTATTGTAGTGCAATGGTTACAGCAGTAGAGACAGAGACAAAAGCATATGAAATGTGTGAAGTCTTTGGATACTGACCATGAATGTATTTGTGCATGTGTGTACGAATGTGTAGCGTGTAGCATTTTTAAATCAGCCAGCTGAGGAAACAAGCAGACAGCCAGGCTGCCAGTCTCAATTGCCTAGGGCAACAGGGGAAAAAATGTCACTCATTGCAACCCTGCCGAACAAGGTACCAAGGGAAAGCAAAGTAGGAGTAGGAGAAGGACTGAAGGGATGGAGCGATAGACAGACAGAGAGAGAGAATCATGGGTCGAGAAAGAGAGAGAGAAAGCTCGGAAGCTGGTTATTAGAAAAGGATAGAGATCACTTCAGCCTGCAGGGCCAGAGAGGGAGAGGGGCGACATAAACTAATCCATAAAACACTGTAGTCAGCAGGGAGTCCAGCGGCATAACACTTATTATAGATCCTAATAAATGAACACCCAATTTACTGGCAGAACAGGTCATGAGAAACACAGAGAGAGAAAGGAACAAAGGGAGAAAATGTGAAAAAAAGGAGGAGGACAGACAGTTGCACTGGGATTCCCTGCTCCACATGGTTTCCTTTGCTGCTTGAGGCCAAAATCTGATCGCGGTTCTCAATCACACAAAAAACTGATATTTTTCACCATTCCTCACCTTAACAAGACGAGCACAAAAAAGCATCATGTGAGGTTTTTCTTACACTATAGATATGTTTTACCCTGTGGACATCCTTAAAACATTTGTGATGAGATCTGGGAAAACCCGTCGGATGTCGCGCTGGTACGTTTTCAGTAAGGTCTAAATATATATTGAAAATAGATAGATTGTCAAAATTGGGTTTTTATTAAATTATTATTCTACAACATCTTGTTTATTATCTCTGAATATATCTTGGGAAAATTCACTAGTTTAGTGCAGAAAAATAGCGATTTATAATGGCCAGCTGAAAAGACTGTGTTTCTGCCGGAGGGGCAAAAAACAATATCTCTCGTTTAGCTCTCCTTCTCTTAACACTACAAAGACAGTTCACCTATCAACATAACAGAATAAAGTCCAGTCCTGGGTGAACTACAACGGCTGCACGCAAGTTTTTATTTATTTATTTTTATCCAGTGTTATCGTGTGGTGTGATGCGGAGCACAACAGAACAACAAAGTTTGAAGCTGCTTGTTTAAAAGACCTTGCTCGCCTCTCAATCGTCCAATTTCAAAACGGTTTTCACAGGATGAATTTTGAATTTGTAAACTTGATACCTAATCTATGATGATTACTAAAATATGTGATATGAAAAAGGGCAATAAAAAAGGGAGCACCAGTCATCCCGCTAGCAGGATGTGAAAGTTAATTAAACTCAAAATTCCATTTCTGAAAATCATAGCAATCAGCCGAATTCAGATAACCAAAACTTTTGTTACAGACAAACGATAAAAGAAATAAAAACAGATTTGGAAAGGGCTTGATCCCAGCTTTAATAAGGCCTCAAAACCTGTAATGTCAAATTTCACCATGTGGTGGGTTTTCCCAGATAGCATCACATTTGTCTAGTAGCAATGTTCAAACATATACAGTACACACACACACACACACACATGAAATCTGTCATTTCTGAAAGTTCACCACAACTCAAATTGTGGGTTGTATTTAACAGCATTCTTTAATGGAAATAGTCACAATGTTTTTTCATAATTGGATTTTTTTTTACAAAAACGTTGACAAAATGTTTAGTGAAACATTGTTGATTGTGATGAAATTGACATCACACCAGGGTCATAATTTGTGCAAAATTTCTGTATTTCTTTCCATAATAATTAATGAAATTATTTATATTTATTTCTCTCTTTGTTTAGGTTTTCCTGTTTTTTATGAATAATAATTAATATTTAATAGTAACTGTAAAAATATTTTTATGACACCTTTTTTTATATTTTAAGATTCAATGTCTGGGACATGTGTAAATCAATTAAAATGCATATAAAGGCATTTAAACACAAAAAAACTAAATAAGCAAATAATAAATGTTACAATTATTTAATAAAAATCCATGCAAATACTCATACTCCATCATCATGTACTAACCTTTCTTCTCCTCAAGTATAGATTTGGCTTTGGTGTCAGTGACGTCTTTAAAAGAGGCGAGGAAGAGGACAACATCTCCTTTCTCATTCTTGATAGGCACAATATCCAGCAGACACCAGAACACACTACCTGCAGTAGAATTGAGTGAGGCAAAATACATAAACACACACACGCATACATACACACAGTCTTAATGATGTAAGTGAAGTTTATGGGGGCATTCAAACTGTAAAAAGTGCTACTGCTACCTGATCTGACCTGATGATTATCGATCGTAAAGAGTTGTATCTCTAAAAACTGTTATAACGCTATATGGGACATAGAGTAATGAACTATTATATTAGAGTAATGCGTTATAAGCTAAACAGTTTTTAGAGGTAAAACTCTTTACATTTGATAATCATGAAAACAAATCTCAGAGAACGGTTGACTATGTACCAATGAGTAATTAGACCAAAGGTTCATTTTGCGCCGAAGTTGTCCTTTAAGGAAAATAACCAAGATAGCACAAATACCACCAATTACATACTTGTATATCAACTCAACTAAAAAAAAATAATTACAAAGAACAGAGGATTCGGTTGAGAAATACTGTGCAGTTCATACAAGAAAAAACAAAAAAACTAACAAAAACAACCACTTAAAATTTTCCCTCTTGGTTCTCAACGAACAAACAAAAAAAACTCAACAATAAAAACAATATTTTAAGTACAGTCAATGCTACATAAATTGACAAAGTTCACAAAATGTAAAAACAGATTCACAAGTTCATACTTCTAACAAGTTCAGATTTTTTTTTAGAGGGGGAAGAAACTCTTATTTTTAATTATTATTTTCAAGGGAGAACGGAAATGTCACTCACTGCTTATTTTAAGAGGAAGTGCGTTAAAGGGCGTGTGTGCATAGGTGTGTGAGTGTTTTTGTGGAAAGACCAGCCTTGTATCCAGCAAAACCACAACCTTCACCAATGGTGAACTTCTGTTTGTTGTAAATGGAAACAGTGATAGCTTTGATAGGGAAGATCCAGGTGATCGAAGACAACATTGGGGAGAGCTGTACACTCTCCTGGATCCGCTCCAGCAATGGCACAGCGTACTACCAGGTAACAGCTAGGTCACCGCCACACAGGTAAGTGAAAAAAAAAAAAAACCTTCCTTCTTGGTTTCTATTCCTCCATCAAACTATTAACAGTTCTTTAATTTGGGTGCTTTAAGCTGGCTTTCAGTTTGTATTGAGGCTTTCCAGTTCTCACCTCGACATCACCCACTGTCAACACACTTCCCCACACCCTCGCCTTTATTTTAAACTGCTTTTATATGCTTACCTAATTTCCTTTTTCTTTTATTTGTCAACAGAATTGGGCGGAGATGACAATAGTTCAATTTGTCATTTCAGCTTCGCCACACGATATCATTAAGAAACACGGAATTAGCTTTCACTGTTTTGTTAATGATACTCAGCTGTATATTTCTTCAAAACCTAACGAAACTTACCAATTCACAAAATAACGGAATGGATAGCTGATATAAAAAATTGATGACAAGTAATTTCCTACTACTAAACTCAACACTAAAAACAGAGATTCTAACTATTGGACAAAAAACTTCCTCATGTAATAACGAATACTGTCTAACACTTGATGGCTGCTCTGTTAAGTCTTCGTCATCAGTTAGGAACCTGGGTGTGCTCTTTGATACCAATCTTTCATTTGAAAGTCACACGTCTAGTATCTGTAAAACCACATTTTTACATCTTAAAAATATCTAAATTACGCTATATGCTCTCTTTGACAAATGCGGAAAAATTTGTTTATGTGTTCATGACCTCAAGGCTAGATTATTGTAATGCTCTCTACTGGGTGGGTGCCTTTCATGCTTAAAGGAGCATTTTACCCATTTCAACATTAATCCGCTTGGTTATAAGAATGTTATTAGAATGTTAAAGGGGTGATGAACTGAGAAATCAAATTTTCCTTGAGCTTTTGACATCTTAAGAGGTCATCATATTATAAGAATATCCTGTAAGTTTCAGAACTGAAAACGGCCTTGTTAGTCCAATAAAAGCTTTTATTGACACCAGCCTCAGCAAATGACTCGTTTTTAAAAGTGGGGAACTATGACGTCAAAGAGGATAAAACACCACCCCCGCAGAAGAAGATCAACTCCTACTTCAACACGGCCGGTTTAGCCCCGCCCACCGATTCGCGCATTACACACATAGCTAAATAACATAGGCTTACCTAGTGATGACAAACCGAATCGAGCTACCGAGGAATACAAAATATTGTGCAGTGCCTGTTTGTGGAAGTAGACAGTCGCTGCATAAGCTTCCTCTGGATTCCAATAGGAATACAAAACTTTATTTTTAATGACGTTCCAGCTGATGAGGTAAAACCGTCTGTTCGTCTGTAACTCACTATACGAGTTGACAATGCACTACATAGAGATACAACCACAATCGGATGATAAGAGCAAAACATTTTTGACTCTAATGAGAGCTGTTTCAGTACTATGGTACGGTCTAAATCATGAAAATAATCAAATAAATAACGAGTTGACAACAACTCGTCACCCAACGATTCTATCTTGTCTACAAACCACGTTTTGTTATGAAAAACCAGCAATAAAACGAATCAGAAATGACGCGAAACAGCACGTGCGCCTATACCCAGCGAAGAAGAGAACACAACACGTGAATATGGACGTCAGACACAAACACTGTTTGCGCAACGATCTGCTCTGAGAAAAAAATGCAAAAAAATATAAAAACTAAGATTTACCTGGTGTCCTCAACCCATGCATTGCTATGATTGGCTGTACTTATGACATCACTAAGATTGAGTCGTGCGACGGCTCTGGATATAGCAGGCTAGATATTTTTCTGGGCTCGGCGAGGCATCTGCGAGCGTTTTCGCTGCGTTGTTGGCTCTTTCATACTAACAAACTGGCAAGCATTCATCGTCCGCTAATCCCCCGCGATTTGCACGCGATAACACCCTGACCTGTCGGCGAGCTCAACGATTTGCAAATCGGGCATAAATCAGGCTTAAAATCCTGTAGTGTGAACTTGGCTTTAGCTGGCTAGGGCTGGGAATCTCTAGGCACCTCACGATTCGATTACGATTCAGAGAGCTGCGATTCGATGCTAAATCGATTATCTGAATCTTTTGCGTCTGTGTGTGTGTGTTTGTGACTATAAATATTTTGCTTTAAAAGTTTAAAGTAATGACCCATAAAGAATTAACGTACAATATATTTTATTAACATCGCAAAGAACCAACAGGAAATGTGTGCCTGCACTAGCAGCATACTTGTAGTAAATTAATAATATAACAACGACCGATACAGCCGAGTTTTTTTCCTCCTCTGGGTAGAAACGCATCACATGGCTTCTCATATTTGTCGTGTTTCCGAAATATTTTAGTTTTATTCTACAAAGCTTACAACTAGTGTGGCTCTCCAACTCCTTTCCCCCTTCAACTTGAGAAGCCAAAATATTTCCACACATCAGCTTTTAACAAAGGTATTTGGATCTCACGCGCCTTCGCTCTGATCTCTGTTATGTGCATGCCACAGACGGTCCGGGCGCTGCACTTCCGCGCTTTAGAGTTCCGTCTTTTGCGTTCCGTCAATATTACGTTATTATAAATATGTCAGTTTTTTTTTTTTTTTTTTGAAAATAGATTTTTGACATTTGTGAATGGATTCAGAATCGTCCACATCCGCATCACGATGCATCTAATAAGAATTGATTTTTCCCCCACCCCTATAGCTGGCTGTGGCGAGCAGGACGAGGGGCGTGAGAGCAGCGTGAGGCCGGTGGCGTGAGTGATAATGAAAGACACCAGTGAGATGCACCAGTCCCGCATCTCTCATGGAGGAGAAGAAGCATAAAAGGAGCAACGACAGTACAGATCGAGAGAGGAACAGGCCTGATTTTATGTTGTGTTTTGTTTCTGTTGTTTGTGGACAGCAGGCGTCAATGAGGGGCAGCTGGCTTATACTTTTGTTTTGTATTTGTTCATTTTACTATTAAAATGTTTAAATATTCGCCGATTCTCGCCTCCTTCCCACAACATTGAACCCTGTTAATGTTACGTTGGCAAACTCATTAGTGAATTACTCCTCGTTTGTATTTCTTTCTATATGGTGAATTACTGCATGATACCGTGATGTTCAGTCAGGCGAAACTAGGATGGTTCATTACATTACATCATGGACACAAACGTCTGATTCAGAGATTTCGTTCAGGAGAAATTGTCATTGTTGAAATTCTCTGCAGCAGACAGACTCTATCTGTGTCTGTAGCGCACAGCGAGAGCACAGGCACCAGCAGTCCACCCAGCTCGAGCCAGTCTGGGCTCCTCGTCCACGACAGGCAGCCGCCTTCGATTCCTCCATCAGCCTCAGCTGCTCTTCACTATACTGAAACTAAGATACAAAGCACTGCAAATGAGTGAAGTGTCCCTTTAATAAACAAGTTCTTCGAGTTCTTACCAGAACCATAAAGTATGACCATTAGCCCGGTTCTATCAACACTGCATTGGCTGCCTATTAAACATTGTATACATTTCAAAACATTGCTGATTACTTACAAAGCACTAAATGGTTTAGCTCTGCAGTATTGGAGCGATCTCTTATTACAGTCATTACAGTCCTTCACGTCAATTGCAATCTCAAAGTTCTGGCCAGTTGATAATACCAAGAACACCAATACTTTGGAACAGTCTTCTTACCATTGTCTGGGAAGCAGACATACTCTGTCAGTTCAAAGCTAGACTAAAAACACATCTCTTTGACCTAGCATACACATAATACATTATCGACTTCTATAATTCAATGTTAGGCTGCATAGGTTAGGTCAGCCGGAACTGGGAACACTTCCCTTAAATCCTGATGTACTCGTTACATCATAAGAAGAATGGCATCTACGCTAATTTTTGTGTCTTTTTTTATCCCAAGGTTTTCCCGCAGCCTGTTGGATCCAGGCTGTTTCCAGATCTGACAAAGGACCTTCGCCCTGGACCCGATGACCAAGTGCCAACTAGCCTGTCCCTATGGAGGATCCCTATTTCACTATACAGATAAAGCGTGGCGGAAATTAGGGTTCACGCACCAACCAAGAGGTGATAAAATTAAATTAAATAAAATAGGCAAGACAAGTAGTTTGTTTAGGCATGGTTTGTAGGGAATTACAAACCCTATATCATATATTCAAAAGAACATAACTATAGAATAAATTCTTAATGCGCATGTGAATGCCATCAGCGTTTATCACAGGTTCGCATTTAAAGTCTGTTAGAGAGAACGATGTCAAACTTAGCGGCCCCTAATTTTAATAACAAATGATGATTTCACTGGAAGTGAATCAATCAAAACTAACTTTGGCTGGGAAATACCATTATTCAAGAACCGCTATGAAACCAAACCAATCTGTTACCTTAAATGATGTAAAGTTTATCTCTGTAAAGCTGCTTTGAATTAATCAATATTGTTAAAAGCACTATATAAATGAGGAGGATGAGGATGGCATTCCTAGAGTTATTTTGAACGGGTTCAGTGCACATTATAGAAAAACAATTTGTCTTCATAATCAAAATCAAAACTTGCTTGGTCCAGGGAATAGGTCAGATTATAGAAGTAAAATAAGTTGCAATTCACAGTGACTTTAAATAGTTTTTCCGAATTGAATAAAACTAGTTAATTTAAATGTAACCACAGGAAGCACATTTTTAGCTTACTTGGCAAAGCATTACTTTCAGTCTATTTTAAGTGTTAAAAAACCTGAAACAAAAAAAAAAAAAAATCAGCACATCCAAAAAGAGCAACACCATTATGGTACCCAATTCCCATGTAGGTGTGTTAATGCTTGTTGTTTGTCTGTCTGTATTGAGCGGTGTGGGTGTGCATATATATATATATATATATGTATGCTTAGTTGTGTGTGTGTGTCTGTGTGTGTGTGTTTGTGTTTCTCTCTTCACCAGTAGCTGTTACTGGAAGCCTCTAGGGGAATTCCGTCTGATTGCTCACAGCTGGAGAAGTCTTTGTCAAATGTCTCATTTCCTCACGAAAAAGCCTCACTATTATGGAGAAGAAAAGGGGATGAAATAATAACGCTCTCTAGAACAAGTGCGCTGGAGATGTTCCATTCAATACAGAACAAAGCGGGAGAGGAGAATGAGCACGAGGAAAAAGGTACAGCGAGGTTAAAACCCGGCAGCAGCATTCAAAGATCTAAGATCTAAAATCATATGATATATGATACGATACGATACAATACAATATAATATGTAGCAGGAGGAATAAAACATAATATAAATATACATTGTTTTGTATATTTAAAGTGATTTATTTATTATATAAATATAATTTAAAAATATTATTATTACTATTAAAAACTGTTTTTTACACTTACAGAACTGTACCATGGTGGTGTCATGGGGCAGAAGATACTATGGTACTTTGATGTATACCATGGTACCAAATGACTACCATATACATGAAATATGATGAGCACAGTTTCTGCTCAAAAACACAGTACCTATGGTGGTATTTTTTAGTAAATAACCCAGCGAAGGGAGAAATACATCCATTCTCCTCTAAATTTCCCATTAGTGCCCCTTGAATGGAAGAATAATGTGTGGAAGGGAGTGAGATATGCCATATCAAGAAAAATTAATCCCCAGAATTTGGATTTGTAAAGTTGACAGCATTGTGTAGAAGTATATTCTTCTCAATGTCATCGTAAATTCCACAAATATACTTGCACACCTGCTGGACTTTATTTTGTAATCCGACTTTAGAGTCTCTGGTGCTTTTGGCCAACCAACTTTAATAAAACCATCTGCTTCTAACAATGGCTAGAGATTTCACTTTTTAAAGGTGTGCTGTAATACCTCCATGTGCCATTACAACGCATTCTCATCCTTTAATGTCATATAGAACGCTATGTGACAAAACGGCGCTATACTACGCACATGGCACCCGTTATCGTTAATATAACACGCGCTGTGAGGGCTAAGTTTAGGTGTGGGGTAGGGTGTACGTGTCATATTCACGCTAAAGGATTTATAACGTCTTGGGTTCGCGTGTTATATTAACGATAAAGGGTGCCATGTGCGTAGTATAGCGCCGTTTTTGCATATAGCGTTCTATATGACGTTAAAGGATGAGAACGGGCTGGCCATTACTAGTGATGGTTCAGTTTAACCATCCATGTATTATTACTGGTCTACTTTCACAGTAGAAGTGCTTCTAAGTTTTACAGTAATGAAGATATACTGCAAATATTGCTAAATCACCAACAGCTAAATGCATCATCGAAAGTTTTTCTTTCTCACCAGTCTTTTTGTAGAACATGATCTCCTCCTTGAGCTCGCTGCGTTCCTCGAGCGCAGAGTCCACGTGAAGAATAATGTTCTCGTTGGTCTCCGGCCCATACAGAAATTTGCATGCGCAGCTCTGCTGCATGACCTCGGTTCGGGCAAATCCAGTGAGCTCACAGAATCCATCCGAGCAGTACACAATCGGGAAGCCTTTGGACACTTGTGCATTGGCCAGGATGAAGTTGCTGTCTGTACCAAACACAAACATCAAGCAAAATATTAGTCGACTAATGTTGATTGTGACCAGTTATTCGTTTTTTAAACTTTAACTAGATGCTCCAATGATTTTTTTAGTATGATGTTTTACCAGAGGCCATGTTGGGACAAAACAGGTTAAAAGATGCCCTGCTATGTTCACTGAAACAGTTTTCACCTCCTGTTTCTTTCTATTTGTAGGATCACACATTTATTTAAATATTTAGATATTTAGATTTAGATTCCAATACAATATTATTTTATATTGAGCATAAATGATGAGATCAGGAAATCTCTAGTGCTGCCACTAACGACTAATTTTATAACGACTAATCTTTCGACAAATTTTTCGATTAGTCGACTAATTTAAACGACTAATATATATACAAAAAACCATTGTTTGTCATTTCGTTGTGTCCATTTTATTTTAAACTCAACTGAAGGGCCAACATATAAAATGTGACCTGTTGAAAAACATTATGTATTAACAATCTAGGCAATAAGTATCTGCATTTCCATTAGGCTATACCATATTAGTCAGAGTCCAAATAATGTCCTAAATATGCATGTATTCATTACTTAAATTAGCTCTTTTTTCTGCCTTAAATGAATACATTATTAGCTTACTGTACACATTTTTTATATACGTTTCTGAAATGCATAACTGATAACATCACTCTAAATTGTAAAGTGCATTTTCTGTAAAGCTGCTATGAAACAATATGTATTGTGAAAAGCACTATACAAATAAATTGGAATTGAATTGAAAGAGTCTGGACTAGCCTACTACACTTAGCTCTGTCTTATAATGAATCACGCTTAAAGCAGGCAGGCACGCAGCTGAAGCTCGCGTTTACATTTGCGTGCATAGCGGGCCCGTGCTGCGGTTCGGGTGAATGTAAAATAAACAGGGACTCGGGTGCACGTTTTAGCTGATTATGATGTATTTAGTTAAATAAAACACATGTAAGGCATTAACCTGGCATGCCAGACCTACATCAAGATGTTAGGTCTGGAAACTCTTCATTTCAATTTTTCATATCAAAGCACTGAAGACGGGGGAGGTTGGAAGGAAAAGGATAGCAGATTAACCAGCAGGGTGCGCACAACGCACAAACTTGTGTGTAGAGGTGAATTACAGTGAGCCGTTAGAGACAGGAGACCAAAAATAAATAGGCAGTCAATTTTAAAACACACGTTGACTAAAAAAAATTGGCGTTGACAAATTTTCATGGTCGATAACGTCGACTAATTCAACTAATCGCGGCAGCACTAGAAATCTCTGCAAATGGTAGGGGTTCCCAGCGGGATATTCCTGACTGTCCTGATCTCTCTGTCACCATTTGTCTTGGAGTTCTTGTCTCAGTACTAGAAGTCCTGCCCCATCCTGTTCTTGTGTCTCATGCTGAGCAGGTTACAAAACCTGTATACCTCATTTACATGCTTTGTTTCAGAGTGTCTCCACCTCTATGTAACCCTCCCCCTTGAAAGGTATATCAAATACAAAGTATACTGCCTTAGTCAGAATTGGTTAAGAGTTTTGGATGAAACAAACTTGACGAACGAGGACTGCAGCTGCAACAGCTTGTGTTTCTAAATAAAGACCTCTGCTTAAAAGATACAACCAAGTCTCCTGGTCTTCACTCCTGAGTTCCTACACTTTAAGTCAAGTCAAGTCAAGTCACATTTATTTATATAGTGCTTTTCACAATACAGATTGTATCAAAGCAGCTTCACAGTGATAACATGAAAGTAGTACAACACAGATCAACAACATTGCTAAACACTAAATAACCCCAACTGAGCAAGCCAAAAGCAAGCCAAAAGCAAGGCGACAGTGGCAAGAAACCAAAACTCCATCAGATTGGATGGAGAAAAAACCTTGGGAGAACCCAGGCTCAGTCGGGGGCCAGTTCTCCTCTGGCTTACATTCATATTGTTTATATATAAATATTTAGAAGAAAAAGTTCACAATATATTTTAACTTTTGATCTCTTGAAACAGAGCCTGTTTTAAAACAATTTTAAGTGGAACTGAAGTTAAAGGGATAGTTCACTTTGAAATTAATTTTTGATATGTTTTAGCTTACCTCAAGGGCATCCAAGATGTAGGTGTCTTTGTTTCCACAGTATTTTCAATTTTTACATTTTTCAGTCAAACCGTTGTTGTCTATCAGTCATACACTGGAGGCTAAGGGGGTCCACCAAAAAGCATGCACAGAGAAGTCAAAATTAAACATGATTTAATGACTCGTAAATGTAAGTACACATTGATGGCCTAAGACACGAAACGAGCAGTTTGTGTGAGAAAACAAACAGTATTTATATCGTTTTTACCTCTTGTAATCATAGCCATGACAAAATGATCTGACTGCACGGGCGCTTCGGTCTGCGCATGCGCCAGAAGTGATCGCCTACTTGCTACGTCACTCTTTGTTTATACAGAGATTTCGGAAGTTTTACCTTTCACCAAACATATTTAGATGTACGGGAAACTGCAATGGAAGACGATTTCGGTATATCTAAATATGTTTAGTGAAAGGTAAAACTTCCGAAATCTCAGTGTAAATATTGAGTGACGTCACACGCAAGCGATCACTTCCGGCGTAACATTGAACTGATTCAGTTTGGTTCAGTTGGACATTGCACAATTGATTCAGATCACTTGGACCTCACTGTGAGTACACAAGGTAAAAATGATATAAATACTGTTCGTTTTCTCACAAAAACCGCTCGTTTCGTGTCTTAGGCCATCAATGTGTACTTACATTTATGAGTCATTAAATCATGTTTAATTTTGACTTCTCTGTGCATGCTTTTTGGTGTATGCCCTTAGCCTCCAGTGTATGACTGATAGAGAACAACGGTTTGACTGAAAAATGTCAAAATTGAAAATACTGTGGAAACAAAGACACCTACATCTTGGATGCCCTTGAGGTAAGCTAAAACATATCAAAATTAATTTCAAAGTGAACTATCCCTTTAATGCAGCTTGGTCAAAACATCTGAGCAAAAACAACTGAATGCTTGATTGATTTGGATTATATTCAAGAATCTAATTTCCATAATAAAAAATAAATACATAAATAATTTCTGTAATTTCAGTCCCCCAAAATTACCTTTGTAGAAAGTGTCCTGTCCATGGTCCTTAATAAATCATTAAAAATATTTAAGAAAAATCACTCAAGAAACATTTATTTTATGATCAATGTAGGAAACATTCTGCTGCTTATTTATTCTGCTGTTTGTGATTACAAGAAACTGAGACAGACTAAATACAAAATAACTGTGGCAAGGTCTCCAAGACCAGCTGTTGTCAAACTCCTTGTGCATACAAAACTCTCACTGAATTATTACAATTAATGGCAGGAATGTTTGGAAATGTAATCTGATATTTCCTACTGACACACTACAGTAAAATATATAAATAACTGTTTAAAAAGTAAGAAAGTCTTAATACAGTATATAAAGTAAGAAAGTCACATGACATTGCATGCATCTTAAACAAAATTAAAACAATGTCTTTCACATGTAGAGTCGTTGAAGCTTTCTATTTCATAGCATAAACAATTTCCTGCCTGGATAATGTTTTTTTTTTGTATTTTGATTGTTTTATTGCTTTACCCTGTCATTGTGTCAAAACAGATTAATAGCGTCCAAGCATCATAAATGAATACAGCAACACTGCCTTGTAAACATTTCTCGAAGGACAGCTCGTGAGCCTCATCTCTGAATCCCCAGACTAACGCACATGAGCATTATTAAATACTGGCATTTATGAGAAGCATTCATGTGGCTAGACAACAGACATTTGCTGAATGACTTTACTGAGCCTTGTTCTGCACACATAAGCAAAAGTAAAGTTAAGCTCTCATTTATAACAGTCTACGTGTTGGAGGTCAGACCCAGAGAGATATGAGAAAAAAGATGATGAGAGAGAAATAACAGGACAAAAAGAAATATTTACAGGGCAGGGAAAAGAACAATGCGAGAAAAATGTGAAAAGAAAAATGTGAAATGATGACGGGAAGAATAAAAAAAGTGCCGCTTGGCTAAACAAAAGGATTCTTTATCGATGAACAACATATCACAAAATATGTTACGTGGTGAGGTTGAAGCAAGGAGGAAGCAGGATCCAAATGCAGCACATTCATTTAAATACACTCAAACTATACAAAGACTCAGGCAAGGGAACAAGACTCGGAAACAAAACAACCTACATTGACGTAACAACGACAAGAACTTACAAGGACTGAACTAAAACACAGGGTTTCAAAAATGGGCAAACAAGCTAAACAAGAGGGCGTGGCTAATAAGAAACACCTGGGGAGACTAATAGACATAACGAGAAACAGCTGACATTGGACGAGACAGCGGAACACCGACGTGAATCATAACATAACCCTGCCGCAGCCGTAGCTTATCCATAGACACTGACTCGGCACCGGCCATCTGGAGACACTGGCTCGGTGGAAGTGACATGAACAGTCTCTGGATTGGCAAACGTGATGTGACCAATCTCTGGATCGTCAGACGTGACGTGAGCAGTCTCTGGATCGGCAGAACTGATGTGAAGTGCAGGATCGGCAGGACTGACGTGAAGAGTAGGCTCGATAGGGCTGACGTGAAGAGCAGGCTCGACAGGGCTGATGTGAAGCTCAAGCTCGACAGGACTGACGTGGAGCGCAAACTCGGCAGGACTGAAGTGAAGCAGTTCAGACTTCGCAGGACTGACGTAAAGAGCAGGTTAGGCTGGACTGGACAGGACCAGTGGTGAAGGCTCTGGGCTGGAAGGGACCAGCAGCGAAGGTTCTGCAGGACGAGACCCAGGCAGGACGGTCTTGGCGGAAATCAGCTCAGGCCTGTCATGAAGAAGATCAGGCATGTCATGAAGAAGGACAAGAAACCTCAGCGCTGAGGACAAGAAACCTCAGCGCTGAGGACAAGAACCCCAAAGCGGAGGACAAGAACCCCAAAGCGGAGGACAAGAACCCC